GAATGAACGCCGGTAACAGGGAGGAGCTGTGAATGAATGCGAGTAGTAAGCGGGAGTGGTGAATGAAGGAGTTGTGAATGAATGCCGGTAACAGGGCGGGCGTTCGCGACATGTAACGCGAGTCTGCTGAAAAATAAAGTGGAAGCTGAAAAGCCGATAAACGCGTCTGGTGTCTCCGAGGTCTCGCCAGCGTTAACCTATCCGGAAGGTGTACGCCTGCAACGGGAGACCAGGATAAGCAACTGGCTCCTGCCTTTGGATCAGCGTGGTGCGCCGGCTGCAGCGCGCCGGCCATGGCGGCCATTGGAGGGTGAACCAACGACAAAAGGAAGACCTTTCTCTGTCTCTCTCCCTCACTGTCCACTCTGCCTGTAGAAAAAAAGCATAGGTAGTAAGAAAGCTTCATTTATAAGATGGAGCTGTGGACTGCAAACTAGACCTTGCTTATGGTCTAATCAGGCTGAATACACATTCAAGAACAAAAGAAAGTCTAAGTAAAAATTATTTTGATTGAATAGGAGCTGTACAGGTAACATTCATTCTTCTAATAGCCCTTGAGTCAAACAGAACATCAAAGCCGAACTTAAATTGATTAAAAATTAACCAAGCTCAGGACTGGCATTGTGGCATAGTGGGTTAAGCCACTGCCTGCAACACCAGCATCCAATATGGGCACTGGTTAGTGTCCTGGCTGCTCCACTTTGATCCAGTTCCCTGCTAATGGCCTGGAAAGCAGCGGAAGATGATACAAGTGCTTGGGCTCCTTCCACCTCCAGAGGAAACCTAGGTGGAACTCCTGGCTCCTGGTTCCAGGTTGGCCCTGCCTGGCCACTGAGGTCATCTGGGAAGTGACCCAGCAGATGGAAGATAGCTCTCTCTGTGTCTCTTCCTCTGTAACTCTGCCTTTCAAATAAACAAATAAATCCTTTTTAAAAAAATTTAAAAACTATATATTTGAAATGCATTAAATCTGGTTTATTTTATATAAATAAATAATAAACTTAAATTTTAAAAGAAGGGAAAAATGTTTTTAAAAGTTGTATTTATTTATTTGAAAGGCAAAACTACAGAGCCAGAGACAAAGAAATCTTCCATGTGCAGGTTCACACCCCAGACAGCTGGAACATAAGTGGAGCAATGGGGGCCAGGGTTGCGGTATAGTGGGTTAAGCTGCTGCCTGTGACACCAGCATCACATATGGCCACTGGTTCAAGTCCCAGCTGCTCCACTTCCAATCCATTTCCCCGATAACATGGCTGGGAAAATACCAGAGAATGGCCCAAGTGCTTGGGCCCTTCCACCCACATAAGAGACCTGGAAGAAGCTCCTGGCTCCTGGCTCCTGGCTCCAGATCAGATCAGCTCAGCTCAGCTCTGGCCATTGCAGCTATTTGGGGACTGAACCAGCAGATGGAAGAACTCTCTCTCTCTATCTGTCTCTTCCTCTCTCTGTCTGTAACTGTGCTTCTCAAATAAATAAATAAAATATTTAAAGAAAAAATAAATATTTCATGAAGGGAAAAATAATTTTTAAAAAACCACCTTTGAAACTAAAAGCATAAAACAACTATGTTTCAAAAAATAGAAATGATTCTTGAATTACGCTAAGGAAGTATTATGTGATGTCACATTGGACATCTAAAATTTTCCATAGAATTTATAATATAATGGTTATTTACCTTATACCCAGGTCCTAATTGACAAACTGCAAATCCCCATGCTGTGTTGAGTACTTTTCTGAACACACAACCATGATTGAGCCGATTTCAGAAGTCCTTATTTGCATCAGCAGTCTCTGAAGATCTAAGGTGTTTGCTCCCTGTTGGCACCAATTATCTTTACCCATCCTTTCACTTTCAGTCTGCATGCACCCTTGTTGGTGAGATGTCTCTCTTGTGGGCAGCAAATAGATGGGTCTTGCTTTATAATCCACTCAGCCAGTCTGTGTCTTTAAATTGGAGAATTTAGGCCATTTATATTCAAAGTGACTACTGGTAAGTGTATGCCCAGATCATTGAATCCCCAAAAAGTCACCAGAGACCCATTCTCACTGAAATGCAAAAACAAGGTTTATTCTGGAAGTACAAGCCGTGGCAGGGACCTCACCTAACCAACCGATGCAGCAGAGGTTAGAAGAAGGAGTTTTTGTTTGTTTGTTTGTTTGTTTTGTTTTGTTTTGTTTTTTTGACAGGCAGAGTGGACAGTGAGAGAGAGAGACAGAGAGAAAAGAGAGAAAGGTCTTCCTTTTGCCGTTGGTTCACCCTCCAATGGCCGTCATGGCCGGCACACTGTGGCCGGCGCACCACACTGATCCGAAGACAGGAGCCAGGTGCTTCTCCTGGTCTCCCATGGGGTGCAGGGCCCAAGGACTTGGGCAATCCTCCACTGCACTCCCTGGCCACAGCAGAGAGTTGGCCTGGAAGAGGGACAACCGGGACAGAATCCGGTGCCCCGACTGGGACTAGAACCCGGTGTGCCGGCGCCGCAAGGCAGAGGATTTGCCTACTGAGCCGCGGCGCCGGCCCGGGAGCGTTTTTAAAGGAAATAGCCACAGGGTTACTTCAGTGGGGGCTCACAGTAAGGGGACACTTGTGATTTGTTGGGGCTACTCATGGATGGCCTGGCTTCTTCTGGTTGACTCGGATCTAGAGAATTTCCTTATTTGGTCGTAATCTGTGAGCTGCCCTTTGGTAAGTTTTGGTTTCCCCAAAATGCTTGTTTTTACAGGAACTCAGACCTGCTCCAGAAAATGGAGGCTGCTTTTCAAAATGGAGGCACTTCTGCTCTTCAGTAAGTGACCAACTTGACTGTGTCATTTTTCCAGAAATATTCCTAATTTTTTTTAAAGATGTTATTTATTTATTTGAAAGTCAGAGTTACAGAGAGAGAGAGGTCTTCCATCTGCTGGTTCACTCCCCAAATGGCCACAACAGCCTGAGCTCTGCTGATCTGAAGCCAGGAGCCAGGAGCTTCTTCCAGGTCTCCCACATGGGTGCAGGAGCCCAAGGACTTGGGCCATCTTCCTCTGCTGTCCCAGGCCACAGCAGAGAGCTGGATTGGAAGTGGAGCAGTCAGGACTCAAACTGGCGCCCATATGGGATGCAGGCCAGGGCGTTAACCCACTGCGCCACAGCACCAGCCCCAAAATTCCTATTTTTAACTTTGAATTTCCTTTATAGTCTTACTAGAAGATTTTTTGCCTTCCCATTCTTTCCTGATGGTGAGTCCTGGAGCCTGTGGCATACTGAGAGGCTGAAGGAATCTCACAGTCTTCCATGGGAGCCCAGCCCCTGTCAATCCTTCCAGCCAGACTCAGAGTCAGTGAGAAACGCGAACTTTTCCCCTCTGATCAAATCCCTGGATCCCCACTCACTTCACAATCTCGCCTTCTACCAGGCACAAACAAGCGTCTCTGCAGCCGGCACTGAGATCAGAGCGGCTCCTGCTCCCTGCCTGCCGCCAGGTGCCCGTACCCCAGGGCCACTGCTGTGGCTCCTACCGCAGACAAGATGGCGTCGTCTCCCCTCCAACTGCAGACGCAGCTGCTTCTGGTTCATGTCCAAGATGGCGCCTGCCCTCTCTGGGCGCCATTGTGGCGGGGGCGGGAAGGGAGTGGACACCCTGTCGCCCTCAGGGCTCCAGGCCAGCCTCGGGCACAGCATAGCCCGCGAGGCTCCCCCTCCAGCTAGGTCACCAGTGGCAGCGGCCAGGGCAGTGTGAGTTCACCTCAGTCTGTGGAGCCAGTGCTTTCCCCAGCTCTGGGCTGCTGGGGCCGGGTGTGTCGTGCCCATACTGGTTGCTGCTCCTCTGCACCGTCCACTCAGATCCACAGCCTCCCGGCTCCTGCCTCCACGGGATCTCCATGGCAGCTCTTCCTCCGGCTCTCCCCTCAGCATGCACTTTCTCCACTTTTGGGTTTTGTTTTTTTTTTTTTACTATTTTTTTCCTAGCCTGGAGAAATCCACCCTTTCCTTAGTCCACCATCTTGGAATCCCCCTCTTTATATCTTTTTAATTTAAAATGTAAAAATCAAAAAGAGAGGTCCACTCAGATTTTCCCCCATGTCTTACCTGGATTAGTTTGCTCTTGTTGAATTCCTGGAGCTCCTTGTACACTCTGCTTATTAACCCCTCACAGATGCAGACTTTGCAAGTACTTGATCACATTCTGTTGGTTTCTCTCCACTCTGCTATTTCCTTTGCTGTGCAAAATCTTCATAGCTTGATAAAAATCCATTTCCTATTTTTGCTTTACTTCCTGTGTTTGGAGGATCTTACCCCCCAAAAAAGGTCATTGCCTATGTCAGGTATGGAGGGGTTCCCTGTGGTTTTCTCTCGTATTGTTATAGCTTCATGTTTTACATTTAGATCTTTGATCCATTTTGAGTTGATTTAGGTATAGGGTGTAAGGTAGGGATCTTGTTTCAAACTTCTGCATATGGAAACCCGATTCTCCCAACACCACTGATTGGAGAAACACATTCCTGAATTTAAAAGATTGAAGAGTCAGGGCCAGCGCCATGGCTCACTTGGTTAATCCTCCGCCTGCGGTGCTGGCATCCCATATGGGCACCGAGTTCTAGTCCCGGTTGCTCTTCTTCCAGTCCAGCTCTCTGCTGTGGCCCGGGAAGGCAGTAGAGGATGGCCCAAGTGCTTGGGCACCTTCACCCGCATGGGAGACCAGGAGGAAGCACCTGGCTCCTGGCTTCAGATCAGCGCAGCGAGCCGGCCGTAGAGGCCATTTGGGGGGTGAACCAGCGAATGGAAGACCTTTCTCTCTCTCTCTCTCTCTCTCACTGTCTAACTCTACCTGTCAAAAAATAAATAAAAATAAAAGATTGAAGAGTCCACTCCAGTTTCTCAGCACAGTTGCTAGAAATAGGAAGCAAACTCTTTCAAACGTGAGTTCCTGCAGAGTTAACCATGGGACACCTTAGGGGAAGTAGTCATCTAGACCTGCGGTTTCCCAGATCAGCTCATCTTAAACACGAGTCACATTTTAAAGAGGACGCATTTTTAACTCACACGGACCGAGACCTACAGTCCTCCTTGCCTGGGCTCCCTGACTTCCACACCATGAGAATCAGCTGTCAGAGGCTGCTGCCAGGTAAGTGAGATAGTAATAATGACAGACAAGTAAATACATCTGCAGCTGTCTCTCTAGCTGGAGAATCTTGTCAGTCCTTGGGTTTCTGGCTTAGGTCCCCGCTGTCTCTGTAAGGGAGGGAGGAAAGGTATTTTCAGAATGTTCGCTCAAAAATGAGGAAGGAAAAAGTAGTTCCTACCACTTATGCCTTCTGGGAGGACCAGAAGTTTGTCACAGAGCCCAGCACGCAGCTGGTCTTAGTGTCTTTCAGAATTATTAGGGAATACACCGTTTTTTCAGGAGTATCCCCGGTTTGACTGGAACTTGCCTTGGGGCCATAGCTCTGGGCTGTCACTCAACAAGAAAGCAACTTCTAGGCAGGCTGTACCTACCCTCTCTTTGGTCTTGCCTGACTTCCCAGGTGTCCCCGATAGGTTGGATTAGAGAGAGGGGCTTCAGTCATCCACAGGGCCAGCTAGCACCCCCTAGATTCAAAGTGATGGTCATAATTTTCCCTTGAACCAGGAAAGGACTCACCCCCCCCATGTCTCAGATGCATCCTCCTTTAGCCTCCTGTCCTTGCTCCGGGTCCCCACTGACCCCTCCCTGTCTCCCTGCAGTGCTGGGTGTCCTGCTGACTCTGTCGGGAGCTGGAACCCAGAAATCCAAGGGTGAGTCTGCTGGGAGCGGCCAGAGCCTGGGGAGGGGCTCAGGAACCCCCTCTCTGCCCCCCTCAGCCTAGGAGGGTACAGGAGAGACTCAGGGTTGTCCTGTGCTCAGCCCCTGGCTCAGCCCTGGGCTTTTTCCCCAACAGCCTGCGCCCCATGGTGCCCTGCAAGGTCCACGTGTGTCAACGGCACGGCCTGTCGCTGCGATGCAGGGTTCACGTCCACATCGGGGGAGATCTTCACGGAGCGCACGGACATGTGCGAGGGTACGGAGGCTTGGGGGCAGTGCAAAGCATGTGATACTGTGGGACATCTCCAGGTGCCAGTGGGGGACATGGTTTGGTGTCTTGTACCTGGTCCTTCAGATGATCATCAAAGAGAAGAAAAGGTATGAACGTGGAGAGCTAAGAAGTGAATAAACACAGCTTCCGGGAGAGAGAGGACCTGGGTCCCTGGAAGTCTGGAATCTGGGCCTCAGTTTACCCTCAGAACTGGGGAGGGAGATGCTGAGCTTCCTGCCCATTCCCCGCCCCACCTCAGCACTGTCTGCTGTGTCCCAATCTGGGGGCTCAGCCAGAGGATCAGCTGGGCCAGAACCATCTCACATTCTCCATCTCCTGTCTGCCAGGTCTGAGGTCCCCAGAGCCATTCCTGCTCAGGACGATGGTTAAACAGGCGTACGTGTACCTGTCCCACCTGCACACAGAGGCAAGGTGATGTGACAGCCAAGGGCATACCCCAGGGCAAGCTGCCTGGGCCCCCAGTCAGCTTTGCCATTGTTAGCTGCATGATAGTTGTCGCTCCCCGTCTTCATGGGGGAACGACACAGGACCCTGCGCTGTTCTTTCGTCTGCTCGGTCCTCCCCGGGTTTGCTGCCGGTTCCTCCCGGGTTGGCTACTATCCCTTCCACCTCCGTGGAAGGGCAGTTCCCCCTGGCCACATTCCCCACTTCCGCAGGGGAGCGGCACACCGCCGGCCGGCTCTTCTCGGGGGCTGCACGGGTGTTCCCTCAGCTAGATGTTCCCCTTAGATGTTCCTGGTGTATGCCGTCTCTCTCCTCCTTTATAGTCCTCCTCCGCCAATCCCAACTTGGCTGCCCACACGCCGAGTACGCTGCTCTCCAATCAGGAGCAAGTCCTACAGTTTATTGGTTGAACTGGAGGCAGCTGTGCGGAAGCTGTTTACTTCTCTCCCAGCGCCATATTGTGGGAGAGCAGATGCATAGAATAAGTCTTAATTCCAGTAACTCAGTCTAGTCCGGTTTGCTCCCCACAGATCCCCCTTTCTTTTTATTTTTTTGGCGTTGATACGTGCCTGTCTTCGGTGTCCCGCGGCACACACTCTGCTCTACTTGCTAGAGTTGCCACAGGTTCTTAAAAGTCCTATCAATCAGGCAAACCGAATCCGGGTCCTCTCTTCGCCATGTTGTGAGGAGGTTTTTAGGCGCTGATGCGTGCCTGTGTTCGGTGACCTGCGGCTCATACTCTGGTCGAGCCGCCTGCTGGCGCTTACCGCCTTAATCAGGCAGACCGAATCCAAGCCTCCTAATTGTTGTATTGTGGGGAGGCCTTACTGATGTTAATTCGTGCCTGTCTTCGGTGACCTGCGGCGCATAAGCTGCTAGCCGCCGCAGGTGCTCATCGCCTCACTTAATCAGGCAGACCGAATCCAAGCTCTTACATTGCAGTGTTGTAGGGAGGCCTTTCTATTTCTCTATTTCTCTATCTCCGGGCATTCCCATTTCTCTCATTTTACTTCTAAACTTTTGTTTCTCTTATCCCTGCGGCTTTCCGGTGCCCGCCCCGAGGCTGCTTCTCGGCACCCGCCCCGAGGCTGCTTCCCGGCTCTGAGCCGCTTCAGCCCGTGCCTCTCTCATCTGCGCGGCTTCCCGGCTTTGCGCGGCTTGGCTTCGCGCGCTCCGCGGTCTCCACGCCCTTCGCGTCTGCACCACGGCCTCGCGCCAGCCCCGTTCCCTATCTACTTGTGCCCCGCACGCTCTCTCTGCGCACGGCAGCCTCCGCGAGTCACACAGCGTAGCTTACGTGTCCGCCACTAGCATTCAATCTAAGTTCCCCGGGCTAGCCTGGCGAATTCAACCCAGCTTACGTCTCCGCCCCACGATCTGGCTTCCCGTCCTTTGCTCCCCGGGCTAATCAGACAGATCCCAACCAGGCTTACGTTTCAGCTTCTGGTTTCAACTTTTCGCCCCCTATTCCCTGGCTAACTTGAGAATCCCAAAGTGGCTTTCGTTTCAGCCTCGGCCTGCCCCCCGCGGCTTCAATTTCCCTAACACTTTTCTCTACCCGGTATGTTTCCCTAAGTTTTCTTCCAACAATATTCCTCCCTCATTTCTCCTGGCCTCTCCCCACAGTCCGCGTCCAAGTCTGTTTGTTCTAGCTTTCACTTTCGCTTTCGACCTTAGAGATTTCTCCCAGCTTCCCCCCGTAGTCCGTATCCGAGTCTATGCCTAGGCTTTCAATAGCTTCTTCCGGCACCCTTTTCGTCCGGCTTTTCCCTAGGCTGTTTGCTAGTCTCTCTCTCCAGTATTTTCCCAGTTCTTCCCGTTTCTTCCCTCCTAAGTTTCATCTCCGTCCTAAGTTTCCTATCCGTCCTAGGTTTCCTATCCGAGTCACGGCACCATTATGTCGCTCCCCGTCTTCATGGGGGAACGACACAGGACCCTGTACTGTTCTTTTGTCTGCTCGGCCCTCCCCGGGTTTGCTGCCGGTTCCTCCCGGGTTGGCTACTATCCCTTCCACCTCCGTGGAAGGGCAGTTCCCCCTGGCCACATTCCCCACTTCCGCAGGGGAGTGGCACACCGCCGGCCGGCTCTTCTCGGGGCTGCACGGGTGTTCCCTCAGCTAGATGTTCCCCTTAGATGTTCCTGGTGTATGCCGTCTCTCTCCTCCTTTATAGTCCTCCTCCGCCAATCCCAACTCGGCTGCCCACACGCCGAGTACGCTGCTCTCCTCCAATCAGGAGCAAGTCCTACAGTTTATTGGTTGAACTGGAGGCAGCTGTGCGGAAGCTGTTTACTTCTCTCCCAGCGCCATATTGTGGGAGAGCAGATGCATAGAATAAGTCTTAATTCCAGTAACTCAGTCTAGTCCGGTTTGCTCCCCACAATAGTGGCCAAACCGCTTCCTCTTTTTGAGTCCTGTTGTCAGCTATCTTGATATCTTCTGCTCCCATACCAGCAGTACCCTAGATTTCCCTCCCTCAAAGTCTTGTGGCTGGCATGGCTGATTTCTCAGGGAATCCAGAGAGACAGAGGCAGAAAGCCCGAGCCCACAATTCCGTGTCACGTGTGGAATCTTGGTGAAGGCAGCTGCAGAGATGTAGCTCATCTCATACCCAACTGTCCCCATCAACCTTGAGGACAGATCTCCTGCCAGTGCCACCAGCTGAGAACAGAACAGGGAAGCCTGCCCAGGTTGGGGGCTGGACATGAAGCCAGCAGTGATGTGCCCCTCCCCCCTCGTGTCCTTTCATGTGCCCACACATAGAGTCCAGGTCAGGTGCAGAGAAAGGAGCTGATTTGGGGAGCGAGGACCAGGTGCCTCTCTGACTCACTGTGACCCCATGAGTCCTTTGGAGCTCAAAGAATCTTTGGTCCCCTGATGCAACTTACTGAGCCAAACATCCTGTTCTTGTGTTTTGATACATTCTTGTGTTTCTGGTTCTTACCACACTTATTTTTACTTTTTTTCCATTGGAACACAGATGATCCCATACATGCACACAATGTATCATGATTAGATCAAGGCATTCGGCATTTCCTTATCCTCAAAAATTCATCATATCTTTGTGTTGTGAATCCTTAAATTCCTTCTTTCTAGTTCTTTATACGACATATAATAAGCTGTGAACAACAGCCACCCCACTGGGATGTAGGGCACTAGAACGTTTTGGTAGCTGTTACCTAACTTCCCTCTATCTCTCCTCCTCCCTTCCTTTCCAAGCCCCCATGTCCACCATTCTACTCTCTTCTATGAAATCAACTCTTCACTTCCACAGTTGAGTGACAACCTGCCCGATTTGTCTTTCTGTGTTGCCCAGTTCCATCCCAGTGGCTGCAAGTGGCAGGGTTCTATTCCTCTTACAGTTAAATAATGTTCCATTGTGTGTCCACATCACACTTATCCATTTATCCAGTCATCTGTCGATGGACACCTTGGTAGATTCCACACCTTGGCTAATTGTGAACGGTGTGGCAATAGACACAGGAGTTCAGATAGCTCTTTGATAGACTGATATCATTTCCTTGGCTATATACCCAGCAGTCGGACTGATGGATCACAGACTATCTATTGTTAGCTTTTGGAGGAACCTCCATATTGGATGTACAGAAATGCTGTTGTTTTCGGCCCACAGTGCCCAGGCTCAGATCTGAGAGTTCCTTGGGTACCCAAAGGGGATCTTTCTTATGTGAGTCTTTGCTCTTGTATTCAGAGAACAAGGGACTCTAAGAAGCCAGGAAACACCCCCATGATTTGGCTGTGGGGCCCCTTCTCAGCACTTCCTCCTTACCTATCTTTGATCAGCCCTGGTAAGGGACAACTTCCTCCAGAGGTGGACACAACCGCCTTGAAAATGCCTGTCCATGTCCACCCCACAGTCTGGGTTTGACGTTGGGAGCGAGGAAGCCTAGCAATGGGTGTGGGTGTCCTTGAGCTACTTAAAGAAAAGGGAGGTGGGAGAGACCACAGGCAGGGGTCTGTGCACTTGACTTTTTTTTATAAAGATTTTTATTTATTTATTTATTTATTTAAGAGGTAGAGTTACAGACAGTGAGAGGTAGAGACAGAGAGAAAGGCCTTCCTTCCACTGGTTCACTCCCCCAGATGGCCGCAACAGCCGGAGCTGCACCGATCCTAAGCCAGGAGCCAGGCGCCTCCTCCTGGTCTCCCACACAGGTACAGGGGCTCAAGCACCCAGGCCATCCTCCACCACTTTCCCAGGCCACAGTAGACAGCTGGATCAGAAGAGGAGCAGCCGGGACCAGAACCAGTGCCCATACGCGATGCCGGTGCTGCAGGTGGAGGATTAACCTACTGTACCACAGCGCCAGCCCCACACCTGACTTTTGTTGTTGCTTAGTGGTAGAGGTTTTTTTCCCATGTTGCGTTGACAAAATATGCATATTACACTTTTTACCAGTTTTACGATGTTTCAGTATACTAGGCCCATAACACTAAAGACAGTCACATTTTTCCTTGTTTATTTTGGTTATGACCCCCTAATCAGATCAGTGGTTTGCAAATAGTTCTCCCATTCTGTCAGTTGTCTCTTTACTCTCTTAATTCTTATGATTTGTTAATTAGAAAGGTAGAGTGATGGGGGGCGGGGAGAGACAGAGAGAGAAATAGAAATCTTCCATCTGCTGGTTCACTCCCCAAAGCCTACCCCATAGTCTAGGATGGGCCAGGCCAAAGAAGCCCAGAGCCTGGAACTCCAGCCCAGTCTCCCCTCTGGGTGGCAAGGACCCAAGGACTTGGGCCACTGTTCACTGTCTCCCAGATGCATTAGCAGGAAGCAGAGGAGCCAGGACTCAGACCAGCACTCTGAGATGAGACATGGGTGCTGTAAGTGGTGACTTGACCTGCTGAGCCACAACGCCTACGCCCTCTTCTCTCTCTTGACAGCTGCCTTCATTATACGGAAGCTTTTGAATTTGAAGCGATCCTGTGGGTCTGTTTTTGCTTTTGTCGCCTGTGCTTTTTGGGGTCTGGTCCAAAAGGCTCCTTGTGCAGACCAGTGTCATGAGAGTTCTCCCCCTGTGGTTTCCTCTCCGTTTCACAACTTCCTGTCTTACGCATCAAGTGCATGATCCATCTCAAGTTCACCTTTGCAGATGATGACTGAGCTGTCTTGTGTCATTCTTTTGCATATGTTTATCCAGTTTCCCCACACTTGAATTTTGTATTCACTTACATATTATTTATCTGAAAGATGGGGGCGGGGAGAGGGAGGGGAGGGGAAGGGAGAGAGGGAGAGGGAGGAGAGAGAGAGGGAGAGGGAGAAAGACAGGGAGAGGGAGGAGAGAGAGAGAGAGGTCTTCCATCCACTGGTTCACTCCCCAGATGGCCGTAATGGCCAGAGATGTGCCAATCCGAAGCCAGGAGCCAGAAGCTTCTTCTGGGTCTCCCACGCAGGTGCAGGGGCCCAAGGGCTTGGGCCATCTTCTACTGCTTTCCCAGGCCATAGCTGGGAAAGAGAGCTAGATTGGAAGTGGAGCAGCTGGGACTTAAATCGGCACCCATATGGGATGCCGGCACTGCAGGCAGCAGCTTTACCTGCTACGGCACAGCTCAGGCCCCTAGCTTTGTTCTTTATCTGACCACCTAGCTTCATCACTGGGTGTTAATGACAAAGGTCACCCTGGAAAGATCCCAGCCACCACTGCTTTGGCATCAAGGGTGGTCTTCAACTCCTCTCTCTCTCCCTGAATGGAGTCCCCTCTAAAGTCCCCAACAGTGCAAAGAGCCTGGTTCTGTGCCTCCCTCGATCCCTCAAGGCCTCCGTCTTCTGGCACAGTGCTCAGTGTGGGTACTCCCAAGCCCCGTGCAGCAGCAGAGACACCAAGAGTTACCTGAGAGCCCACAATTAGGAGACAGGGAGCTCTACTTCGAGAACAACACAGTGTTGGGAACAGACCCTGCCCTGTTCTGTTGCAGACATCAACGAGTGTGCCCCGCCCCGGTCCCTGTCCTGTGGGAAATTTGCCGATTGTCAGAACATGGACGGCAGCTACTACTGCACCTGCAACCCGGGATACAGGCTCATCTCCGGGGAGAAGGTGTTCAAGGATGAGAGCCAGAACACGTGTCAAGGTAAGCCCCCATCTCCATGCCCGTGAGGTTTGGGATCACCAGATCTGTTCTTACTGCACCCAGGAGGCTGGGTCATGGTTACAGGAGTGGTGTCGAGGTCTCAGACAGAGCTTGTCTCGCCAGTGCAGAGAGGGATTGAAGGCCCCGGACAGACACAGGGACCAGCTGCCCCGGTGCAAACCTGGCTTTGTCACCACTTGGTTGCATGATACAAGCATAAATGAGCCTCGGTTTACCCATCTGTGAAATGAAGATGAGAAGAATGGTGCCAACCTCTGGGGGGCCTTCTGGGGGGACCAGGAAGTTACAAACGCTCTTAACAGAGCCTGGTGCAAGATGTGTTTTAGTATTTAAAAAAAAATAATTACTATGTGATGCACCATTTTCAGGGCTGTCTCAGAAGGGTCGGAGCCCCGAGAACCAGGGGAGGCTGCCCTATAACTCATCGCCCACCCAGGCCACAGCCACGGGCACTGCACGCCGCCACTAGGTGGCAGCACCTGCAGCCACAGGGGCTCTGATACCTGGAGGAAACAGGGTGGGGACTGAGCCCTCCTTTCTGTCCCCAGACGTGAACGAATGCACCTCGGGACAAAACCCCTGCCACAGCTCCACCCACTGCATGAACAAAGCCGGCGGCTACCAGTGCCTCTGCCGCCCCGGCTGGAGGCCGATTCCCGGAGCCCCCAATGGCCCAAACAGCACCGTCTGCGAAGGTTTCGCCTCAGGCGCGGGCAGGACTCGGGGTCCCTGAGTGCAGGGGGCGCCCTGCCGGGCCAGGCACCAAGGCCACTGAGTCTGGACCTGAAAAGACCTGGGTGGGGGTGGGGTGACAGGGTCGGAGCCGGGGGAACCAGCGGAGGCTGCCCTGTAACTCATCGCCCACCCAGGCCACAGCCACGGGCACTGCACGCCGCCACTAGGTGGCAGCACCTGCAGCCACAGGGGTTCTGATGAAGCAGGGCGGGGGCGCTGGGCAGGCGGCGGGGGCTGGGGCCCGGCCTGAGCCCTCCTTTCTGTCCCCAGACGTGGACGAGTGCAGCTCCGGGCAGCATCAGTGTCACAACTCCACCGTGTGCGTCAACACCCAGGGGTCATATAAGTGCCGCTGCCGCCAAGGCTGGAAACCGATTGCCGGATCCCTCAACGGCCGCATCAACACCATCTGCGAAGGTACCTGAGCCTAGAACCCCACCCGCGCCCCAAACACGCACACACACACACACACACAGATGCACACACACACAGCCGGACGCATGCCTGATGCCTCCTGTCCTGCTCCCTGCAGAGATCCACCTGCCCACCTGGACTCCGCCCCACGGCATCCACAGCCAGGTGAGTGTCCCCAGCCGGCACCACCAAGCAGGAAGTCCCCTGGCACTGGGGTCCCCACCCTCCACCACGGCGTGGGCTGACCCCTGCTCTCCCCTCCCCCAGACTCTCTCCGGATTCCTTGACAAAGTCCAGGCTCTGAGCAGAGACTTCAAGCCAGCCTTGGCCAATGTCACCATCCAGGTAGGGGCCAGGGCTAGGGGAGGGATCCCCAGGGTCTGAGGCCCTGCCTCACCTGGAGCTGGCACAAGAGGACACCAGGACACACCCATCAGCTATGTGTCCTCTTGCTACTGGACCACGAGTCTGTCATCGTTGCTATCTCTGGAAGGTGTAGATTTCCAGCCACGGGGACACCCAGGGAAAACCCCGCCCATACTGCATGCATCCCCCAAATAGACCAATCCCTGGGGCAGCCCCTCGGCCTATGGCCACTGGCTCAGCGCCCTTCCCCATCCAGAACCTCATGCAAAGAGTGGATGAGCTGCTGGAGTCGCCGGGGGACCTGCAGACCCTGCCTCACTCCCAGCAGCACTGTGTGGCCACTCACCTGCTGGCTGACCTGGAGCAGACCCTGCAAAGCCTGGGCAAGAATCTGCCCCAAGGGCCATTCACCTCCAGTTACCCTGCAGGCACAGGTAGGTGCCGGGTCTCTGTCCCGTCCCTGTCTCCCTCCTCCTCCTCACAGTCCCCCTGGAGCTGAGTGACCACACTTGCACCTGTGACCCTCACAGATACTACACGTGAAAAGGAAATGCCCAAGAAACTCTAATCCATGCACATTTTCATTGTCATATCAATTATCACCAGGACAATGATGGCGAACTGAAAACAACATAAACAGTTTCAAAAGAAAACTATAGAGTTTAGGAGAATGTGAATATTTAAGAGTATTGGGTTAGCCGGCGCCGGGGCTCACTAGGCTAATCCTCCGCCTTGCGGCGCTGGCACACCAGGTTCTAGTCCCGGTCGGGGCGCCGGATTCTGTCCCGGTTGCCCCTCTTCCAGGCCAGCTCTCTGCTGTGGCCCGGGAGTGCAGTGGAGGATGGCCCGAGTACTTGGGCCCTGCACCCCATGGGAGACCAGGAGAAGCAGCGCGCCGGCCGTGGCGGCCATTGGAGGGTGAACCAACAACAAAGGAAGACCTTTCTCTCTGTCTCTCTCTCACGGTCCACTCTGCCTGTAAAAAAAAAAAAAAAAAGATTATTGGGTAGTTAAGTATGATTTGTTGTACGGAGGTAAAATCCACATCTCATAAAATCCGCCAGTGCAATCACAGAATTGGACAGCAATATTTCTTATATATATTTATTTATTTGTTTACTTGAAAGATGGCATTAGAGAGAGAGAGAGAGAGAGAGAGAGAGAGAGATCTCTTCCATCTGCTACTTCATCCCCAAATGCTTGCAATAGCCAGTCCTGGGCCTGGAGCCAGGAGCTCCCATTCAGGCCTCCCACATGGGTGTCAGGAGCCAAAGCCATCATCCAGTGCCTTCCCAGGCACATTAACAGGAAGCTGGATCTGCATTGGAGTAGCCAGGATTCAAACTAGCACCCCAAGATGGGATGCTGACATTGCAAATAGCCACTTAACCCACAATGCCAGCCCAGGACAATATTTCTAATATTTTCATACCCCAAAGTGAACACTTTCTCTGTGAAACAATCATGCCCTATTCCTCCCTTTCCCCAGGCTCCATACCTCAGTTTCATGCAAATGGAATCAATTAATATGTAACCACCTAAATCTAACTGCTTTCACCCCATGGCTGTCTTTAAGGTTCACCCATGTATCATTATGCTATTGCTGGATGATATTCCACTGTGTGGGCTACACTGTGTACATTTAGCCATTCATCCATTGATGGGCATTTGGGTCATTTCCACCTTTTGGCTATTGTGAACAGAGCTGCAAGGTATGCTGATGCACAAGTCTTTGAAAAGGTGCTTTCATTTATTAGGGTACAGACTTAGAAGAACTGCTGGGTAATACGGTAACTCTGTGTTCAACCACCAACTGGTTTTTCCAAAGCAGCTGCACCAACTTATGTCCCCACTGGAAATGGATAGCAGTTATAACTCCCAGGTGCTCAACAACAAAAATGTGTCACCTGCCTGTTAATGGGTTTTATGGTGGCCTTTCTAACGCATGCGAGGTGAAATCTCATTGTGGTGATGGTTTGCATTTCCCAGTACCTGATGATGTTTGACATCTTTCAATACGCTTGTCTGCTATTTGCATATATTTTTGGAGGAATGTCTATTCATGTCCTTTGCTTGTTTTGGGTGGGTTGGGCTGTCTTTTGATTGCTGAGTTGCAAGAGTATTTGTGTACAGACTGACAGATGCATCATTGAGACACAATCTCTGATTCGGGAGACTCACAGACTTTTCACTTCCATGAACAGACGTTTTGTCTTGATGAAGTCCATTTTACCTCATTTTTCTTTTGTTGCATCTGCGTTTGCTGTCCTATTAAAGAATCCACTTCCATATCCGAGGCCAGGAAGGTTGAACCCTATGTTTTCTCCTAAGTGTTCTTGTTTCACTTCTCAAGTTACGGACCAAGATCAATTTTGAGTGCATTTTGGATTCAGTGTGAGGTAAGGGTCTGACTTCCTCCTTTTGCATGTCCTGGGACCATGTGCAGAAGAAACATTAAATAATCGAGGCACCTCTCAGTGAAAACCAATGGACTGCAAGCCATATAAGTTCATTTCTGGTCTCTGAATTCTGTTCGCTTAAATGTCTGTCCTTACGCCAGTACCATAATACTTTCACTATTGCTGGTATAGAGCATGTTCTGAAGTCAGAAAGGGTGAGTCCTCCAACTTTGTTCTTATTCTCCAGGGCTGTTTGCTGTATAAATTCCAATTCTAGCTTTTCTATTTTGGCAAAATAGAGATATTGGGATACTGATAAGGACTGCACTGAATCTGTGCATCGCTGCCATCCTAACAATATACAAGTTTCCAATCCATGAACATGGGCTGTCATTCCACTTAGTTAGGTATCCAATTTCTTTCCTAATGTTCTGCAGTTTTCTCTGTACAAGTCATGGACATCCTTGAATGTATTCCTAATATTTGGTTGAAAATGTTTACATCTATGTTCATGAGATATTGATCTATAGTTTTCCTAGGATGCTTTTATCAGACACAATTTTTATCAGAGTGATGTTCGCCTTATAGAATTATTTAGGTAACCTTCTCTTCTCATACGTTTCTTGGAGGAGTTCCCAAAAGACACATATTTGTTATTCCTTCAGTGGTCGATGGACTTCATCAGTGAAGCTACCTGGACTGGGATTTGTATTCTTGGAGATTTTTATTGCTGATTCAATCTCTTTACATGTAATAGAGATGTTCACATTTTTCTGTTTATTACTTAGTCCATTATGGGAGCTTGTATCTCTAGAAATGTGTCCTTTTGTTGAGGTGATCTAAGTTGTTAGCATATAATTGCTCATACTACTCTTTTTTTAAAAGATTTATTTATTTGCTTGAAATTCAGAGTTACACAGAGAGAAGGAGAGGTGGGGGGGTCTTCTATCTGCTGGTTCACTCCCCACATGGCTGCAATGGCTGCAGCTGGTCTGATCTGAAGCCAGGAGTTTCTTCCAGGTCTCCCATGTGGGTGCAGGGGCTCAAGGACTTGGGCCATTTTCCACTGCTTTCCCAGGCCACTGCAGAGAGCGGGATCAGAAGTGGAGCAGCCGGGACTTGAATCAGTGCCCATATGGAATGCTGCCACTGCAGGCAGCGGCATTACCCGCTGTGCCACAGTGCCTCATACTACTCTTTTTTTTCCCTTTTTTTTTATTTTTTGACAGGTAGAATGGACAGTGAGAGAGAGAGAGAGAGAGAGAGAGAGAGAAAGGTCTTCCTTTGCCGTTGGTTCACCCTCCAATGGCCGCCGCGGCCGGCGCGCTGCGGCCGACGCACCGCACTGATCCGATGGCAGGAGCCAGGTACTTATCCTGGTCTCCCATAGGGTGCAGGGCCCAAGCACCTGGGCCATCCTCCACTGCACTCCCGGGCCACAGCAGAGAGCTGGCCTGGAAGAGGGGCAACCAGGACAGAATCCGGCGCCCCAACCAGAACTAGAACCCGGTGTGCTGGCGCTGCAGGCGGAGGATTAGCCTACTGAGCCGCGGCGCCAGCCCCCTCATACTACTCCTATAACGCTTTATAATACATATTTCAAAAGTCCATGAAAATGTCTGTTGTGCAAAAAAGTGCATGCATGTCTTTCAGGGTTTTTTTCCACAAAATAAACATCTTTCACTTCCATTTTCCATGAACTCACATGCAAGAAGTAATGATGTTTTATCCACCACAGCGGGGGCAGCTCCTAGCCTAACTGCCCTTGTGTGACTCTCACAACTCACAGAACTGTCCCTGGAGGTGCAGGAGCAAGGAGTCAGGAATGTCACCTTGAGTCAGAGCCAGGCAAAGATGCAGCTGGACTGGAAGCCTGCCTGGGAGTCTGGTGACACAGGTAATGGCTGAGATGGGGACAAAGCCACGAGGGCCTCGTGTGAGACGGGTGCCCAAGAACGCGAAGACGAAAGGGAGGTGTGGGGTCAGGGCCATGAGAGGAGGGGTTGTCCAGGGAGAAAGTACCCTTGTGTGACCCCGGGATCCAACCTGGGCTGGTCCTGCAGGCCCCTCTGTGGTGGGCCTGGTCTCCACTCCAGGGATGGCCAAGCTGATGGCTGAGGCCCCTCTGGACCTGGACCACGAGAAGGGAGCAGCTCCGTATGAGACGCACGAGGGCTTCCTGCAGGCGTGGCCCCCTGTGCTGCTCTCAGACGTCGTCTCGGCCTTTGTGAGCAGCAGAAACACCGAGAACCTTGGCTCCACCGTAGCCTTAACCTTCTCCCACCGTGTGAGTGCCAGTGGGGCGGGGCTGCGGCTGTGGATGGAGCCCGGGGGAGCCCTCCTGGCTGGAGGGACTCCCACTCACCCCACCCTCCCCCAGGAAAGTCAGCCCTTCCAAAGCCAGCTTTGGGTTAGCCTCTCTGGGCATCAGAACCAGCAGCTCACACCTGGGGCCTGTGCCTACAGCCGGTGATCCAGGAGCCACGGCTCTGTGTCTTCTGGGAGCAGAGTCACAGTGGATGCGGCCACTGGGCCAGCGCGGGCTGCCGGACAGAGAGCAGTAGAGGCGACAGCACCACCTGCCGCTGTTCCCACCTCAGCAGCTTTGCCGTCCTCATGGGATACGATGGTGCGCAGGTGAGAGCCCCGAGCCCTTTGACTTCCTTGGTGAAGTCGATCCGTATCCCAGGACAAACGGGCTGCTGTGATTCAGATCTGTTTGGGTGCTGATTTTCACCCCAGGGACTGTGTGTTAGAGGTTTTGTTCCCAGAGTCTTCTATTACTGGTACTAAGAGGGTGGGGATAAATCTGGCTGTAGTGTCTGGAGGCGGGGACTTTGAGAAGGATGGGATTGCATTGCACTGCATTGCATTGGGCCGCGAGCGTGGAGCCCCGTGGTTGGAGACAGAGACACAGATGCCTTGTGTCTTGCCTCTGTGCCACCTCAGGACATCACCAGCAAGAACACTCTCATCAGGGGCCCTGTAGGGTCACCTGATCTTGGGCTTCAACTTCCCCAACCTTGAGCTAAAAATAAGCCCTTTTCTCTTGATAAAGTTAGCTTTTCCTGGGTATCTTGCTGCAGGAACAAACACCTCACTGATACACTGCTCATCTTCCTTTTTTTAAAGATTTATTTATTTGAAAGTCAGAGATACACAGAGAGGACAGGCAGAGAGAGAAAGAGAGAGAGAGAGAGAGAGAGAGAGAGAGAGAGAGAGTTCTTCCATCCTCTGGTTCACTCCCCAGATGGTCGTAACGGCCAGAGCTGTGCCAATCCAAAGCCAGGAGCCAGGAGCTTCTTCCAGGTCTCCCACATGGGTGCAGGGACCCAAGAACTTGGACCATCATCCACTGCCTTCCCAGGCTCATTAGCAGGGAGCTGGATCAGAAGCGGAGCATCTAGGATTCAAACCAGCGCCCACACGGGAGATGCCCGCGAGGCAGGCAGCACCTTAGCTCACTGGGCCACAATACTGGCCCCTCTGTGTACCTCCTGGAGACCCTTCTCACAAGCATACAAGTTATGAATGACATAAAATAATAAAACTGGTCCCTAGGGAAACCAGGAAGGGGGAGGAAGCTAGAGTAATGAAGTTTAAAAATTAGAAAGTAAGAAATTTTGTTGGGACACATAGAGGACTTTCTCCCAACACAAACATAGCATTTTTCATCATCCAGTCAGTACAGTGGGAGCAGTAGTGCTCAGTGCTGGCTGGAGAATAGGTACCTGACTATGAGATTTTACATTAGAAATATCATATTGGCAGGGCCAGTGCTGTGATGTAGTGGGTAAAGCTGCCGCCTGAAGCGCCGGCATCCCATGTGGGTGCTGGTTCAAGTCCCGGCTGCTCCACTTCCAATCCAGCTCTTTGCTGTGGCCTGGGAAAGCAGTAGAAGATGGCCCAAGTCCTTGGCCCCTGCACCCACGTGGGAGACCTGGAATAAGCTCCTGGCTCCTGGCTTCGGATTGGTGCAACTCCGGCCATTGCAGCCATCTGGGGAGGAAACCAGCAGAGGGAAGAACTCTCTCTCCCTCTCTCTCTCAAATAAACATACATAAAATAACATTTGAGAATTATGAACCTAGAGCAACTTAAGCATCAACGTTGTGACTTTACCCAGCTCCTCCAATCCTGAATTTGCTAAGTAAAACAGGAAAGAAAAAAAGAAAATAACCATAAGTCTTCCCTCTCCGGGCTGCAGGCGCGGGACCCTGTGCTACGCAGCGTCACGCGTGTGGGGCTGGCCCTGTCCCTCCTCTGCCTCCTGCTGGCAGCCCTCACCTTCCTGCTGTGCAGAACCATCCAGAACACCAGCACCTCCCTGCACCTGCACCTGTCGCTCTGCCTCTTCCTGGCCCACCTCCTCTTCCTCACCGGGATCGATCAAACCCAGCCCAAGGTACTGACGGTGCCCCCACCCCCCAGGGACCCCCTGCCCTGCTTCCCAGGAGCAGTGCGGCCCCGAACACCTTGGCAAAAACGGCCTTGGCAGCAGGAGGAAGAAGCCTCCACCACACACGAGTGCAGTCCCCGGCCACCGAACACAGGGCCCGGGGTCTGAGACGTGGCTGTGAACATCAGGCCGTGCACTTCCACGGACCTAGGTGATACGGGAGCGTCGCTCTGTGTGGCCTCTTAACGCAGCCAAGACGCTAGGTAAGCATAAGACACGAGACGCTGGCGGCCGCTGCTGATGGAACATGGCAAACACTTTAGGAGTAGTACACGCCAACAGGAGGACAAAAAGTACCCTATACTGAATACATAACCAGTAGTTACCAACTGTCGTGCACTATACACGATTATACGCGCTATGCTTTCTAAAAGGGTGATTTATTATTTTATTTGAAAGAGTTATAGAGAGAGAGGAGGAGAGAGACACAGACAGTGATCTTCCACCCACTCGTTTACTCCTCAAATGGCCACCATGGCCAAGGCTGGTCTAGGTTGAACCCAGGAGCCAGGGACCTCCCCACCCAGCCCTGGGTCTCCTATGTGGGTGCAGGGGCCCAAGCTCTTGGGCCATCTTCTGCCGCTTGCCCAGTGCATTAGTGGGGAGCTGGATCAGAGCAGAGCTCCAAGACTTGAACCCCAATACGGATGCCAATGTCACAAGCCACAGCCTAACCCACTGCAATATTTTCTAACAAGTTATCTATTTTAAAAAAGGAAAAAGTCATTAGGTGGCACACACAGTGTATCAGAGTCCTCCCTGCGCCATGCCGCGCCCTGAGTGCTGAGTGGAGTGACTCCTCCCTCCTCCCCCACCCAGGTGCTGTGTGCCACCATCGCCGGGGCCCTCCACTATCTCTACCTGGCTTCGTTCACCTGGATGCTGCTGGAGGGCCTGCACCTGCTCCTCACTGCCCGGAACCTCACGGTGCTCAACTACTCCAGGGGCGGCAGCAGACTCACCAAGCAGCTCCTGCTCCCGGTGGGCTACGGAGTGCCGGCTGTCATGGTGGCCGTCTCGGCAGTGGCCAGGCCTCAGCTGTATGGAACACCTGCCCGGTACATGCAAACCCCCGCCCTCGTGGACTCCCCCAGCACAGACACGGCCATGGCCACGGCCAGAGCAGCATCGCGAGGACTGTGGCGTCCTGGGACACTGCGCTGAGCCGCTGCTTGCGGTTGCCCGCAGCTCCCAGCAGAGGGCCAGCCAAGCCCTGAGTGCTCCACTTCCAGCTGATAACGCAGCTCCCTGATAACGCGTCTGGGAGGCAGCAGGTGATGGCCCAGTCCCTTGGGCCCCTGCCACCCACGTGGGAGACCCGGATGGAGCTCCCGGCTCCTGGTTTTCACTTGGTCCAGCCCTGGTTATTGCAATCAGTTGGGGAGTGAACCAGCAGATGGAAGATCTCTCTCTCTGCCTCTGCCTTTCAAATTAATAAATAAATGTTTTTTGGGTTTTTTTTTGTTTTGTTTTGTTTTGTTTTGTTTTTTTTGCCAGGAAGAGTTAGTGAGAGAGACAGAGAGAGAGAGTTCTAGACAGTGAGAGACAGAGGCAGAGAGAAAGGTCTTCTTCCCATTGGTTCACTCCCCTAATGGCCGCTACAACCCACGCTGTGCTGATCAGAAGCCAGGAGCCGGGTGCTTCTCATGGTCTCCCATGAGGGTGCAGGGACTCAAGCACTTGGCCCATCCTCCACTGCCTTCCCAGGCCACAGCAGAGAGCTGGACTGGAAGAGGAGCAGCCGGAACTAGTACCCGGCGCTCCAACCGAGACTAGAACCCAGGGTGCCGGCGCCACAGGCAGAGGATTAGCCTAGTGAGCCACGGGGCGCTGGCCAATAAATATTTAAAAAGAAAAAAACCCTTGGGGCATCTTTCTGGTGGAGAGTGCAGGGCAGTGCCTTCAAATCTTCACCCCGGAAGCCGCAAATGTGAAGTTAAAAGAGGGCTGCATTTTTTTAAAGATTCCTTTACTTGAAAGGGTGACAGAGAGAGAGGGAGAGACAGAGAGAAATCCCCCATCCCATCGCTGCTGCACTCCCCAGATGGCTGCAGCAGGAGGCCGCAGTCCCCTCTGGGTCCCCTCTGTGAGTGGCAAGGACCCAGCTGGTTGAGCCATCGCTGCAGCCTCCTGGAGTGTCAGCGGGCAGCACTCAGACCCAAGCACCCCCGATCCAGGCAGCGACTTAGCCCCGGCACCAACGCCCACCCCTGCTGGGCCTTTCTAACAACTCTGTGTGAAGTCAGAGAGTTCACTCCACTGAAGATGGCATTTTGACTGAAGGGTCCTGGGTGGGCAAATCCATGGAGAGAGAAAGCAAGCAGATTCCGAGGGAGTGGGGGCCAGAGCCGGGGGTGGGGAAGCGGGAAGGGGTTCAAAGCTTCTCTTGGGGGGGCGTTGGAAGGGGGGAGGGTTGCACACCTCTTTACACTGAAATGTACACCATGGCTGCGTTTCACGGGGTGTGAAATTACTCAACACAGCCCAGTAAATCCATGGGGGGGGGGGGGGATTTAATTCCAGGAGGTGAGAGTCAGAAAAAAAAAAAAAAAAGAGCGACATTGAGTGATGCAAGAGAAACCCTTCACGCCCCAGCAGAGCCCTGGGCGCTCTGGTTTCACCCCTGCTGCGGGCTGTGAACTTCAGTACCGGCCCCCTCCCCCTTCCCATCATCTCGCGGGGAAATAGAAGGGACTTGTGGCGGCCGACTTGCACAGCTGCTCTCTATCTGCGAGAAACAGCGCCTCTCTTACCCCCCCTCTGTCTCAGCTGCTGGCTGAACTCAGAAAAGGGATTTCTGTGGGGCTTCCTTGGCCCTGTCTGTGCCGTGTTCTTGGTGAGTGACGTCGTCGGCCCAGCAGTCACTGGAGGTGCAAGATGGTGTTGGGGGTGGGGGTGCTCCCGGGTGGTCGTGGGCTGGGTTTTCTGCTCTCTCAGCTTGTATGTGTTTGCTTGTTTGTTTATTTCTATTTATTGGAAAGGCAAAGGGAGACAGAGTCAGAAAGAGAGCACCCATTCACTGGTTTGCTTCCCCAAATTCCCACAACATGTAGGTCTGGGCCAGGCCAAAGCCAGGAACCAGAAACTCCATCCGGGTCTCCCCCAAGGGCTTGGGCCACCACCAGCTACCTCCCAGGCGCATTGTCAGGAAGCTGGAGGCAGGAGCTGAGCTGGGACTCGAACCCAGGCCCTCCTATAAAGCTTGAAACTGCCTGGCTCCCAAGCGGCGCCTCAACCACGGCCCGCCTGCACCTTGTGGTGGGTTTTCTGAAAGCACTCCTAAATTCTCATATGCTAATGCTGTCAGCAATACTGAAACTACACTGTGGCACAGCGAGTAAAGCCTCCGCCTGCCGTGCCAGCCTCCCATACAGGCGCCAGTTCGAGTCCCGGCTGCTCCACTTCTGATCCAGCTCTCTGCTGTGGCCTGGGAAAACAGCGGAAGATGGCCCAAGTGCTTGGGTCCCCGCCCCCATGTGGGAGACCCGGATGGAGCTCCTGGCTCCTGGCTTCGGATTGGCCCAGCTCCTGCCGTTGCGTCCATCTGGGGAGTGAACCAGTGGATGGAAGACCTCTCTCTCTCTCTCTCTCTCTCTCTCTCTCTCTCTCTCTCTCTGCCTCTCCTTCTCTCTGTGTAACTCTGCCTTTCCAATAAATAAATAAATCTTTAAAAAAAAAAAACTACTGCAGTGGACAATGTCGGGCAGGCTGGGGAGGAACAGAGAACAGGTATAAGATTTCACTCAACAAACCTGCCGTGGTTTCTTGAAGATCAATTTAGCTTTTTTCCTGATGACCCTCTGGATTCTGCAAAGCAAGCTCTCCTCCCTCAGCAGAGACGTGTCTACCTTCCAGCACCAGAACACACGGTGAGATGGGCAAGAGGCCACAGTTCCAGGACATGGCCATGGGGGCTTCACGGAGCTGGTGGGGGCTGGCGCGGTGGCACGGGGGGGGGGGGCAAGCCACCGCCGGCGACCCCAGCGTCCCGCCTGCAGCACTGTTGGAGTCCTGGCTGCTCTGTGTCTGAGCCAGCTCCCTGCTAATGCATCTGAGAAAGCAGCAGGTGATGGCTCAAGTGCTTGGGTCCCTGCACCTTCGTGGGAGACCCGGATGGAGCTCCTGGCTCCTGGCTTCAGCCTGGCCCAGCCCTAGCTGTTGTGGCCATGTGGGGAATGAACCAGCAGATGGAAGACCTCTCTCTCTGTACTCTGCCTTTCAAATAAAATAAAATAAAAACATAAGGTGATTTAGGTGAAAAAAAATTTAAATCCATGCCTAATATTTTCATAATATGTATTTTTCATGAGCTTTCTCCTGAAAAATGCAACCAAAACAAACTTATTTTAACCCCATTTTTTTAAGATTTTTATTTATTTATCTGAAAGAGTATGGAGACAGAGGGAGCAAGAGAAAAAGGGAGGGAGGGAAGAAGAGGGGGGAAGAGAGAGAGAGAGAGAAATCGTCCATCCGCTGGTTCACTCCTCAAATGGCCACAACAGTCAGGGCTGGACCAGGCCAAAAACAGGAGCTTGAACCTTCATCCAGGTCTCCCACATCGGTGCAGGGACCCAAGCCCTTGGACCATCTGCCGCTGCTCTCCCAGGCGCATTAGCAGGGATCTGGATGGGAAGTGGAGGAGCCGGGACCGGAACCAGCGCTCCTACGGGATGCTGGTGTCGCAGGTGGTAGCTTAGCCCGCTGTGCCACAGCACTGGCCCCCGGGTTGGCACACGCTCCACGCGTCCTCACTGACGGTGAACATCTAAGCGGGTCACAGCTGAGCCTGGCAATCCCCTCTGCAGGGCTACACACCACCCCCCCGGGGTGGAGATGAGAACGGTCTCGATTTTGTCACTTGCTCTGCCCACCCAGGACGCTGACATTCAAAGCCATGGCTCAGCTCGTCATCCTGGGCTGCACGTGGGGCCTGGGCTTCCTGCAGGTGGGGCCGGCGGCCCGTGTCATGGCCTATCTCTTCACCGGCATCAACACCCTGCAGGGCGTCTTCATCTTCCTGGTCTACTGCATCCTGAGCCAGCCAGTGAGCCCCACCCCGCCCCGCCCCTGCCCAGGACCCTCCACGGCCTCGCTGCCCTCAGGGAGCCCACTCGGGGCTTTGCGCTTCGCCTCTGCAGGTCCGGGAGCAGTACAGGACCTGGATGGAAAGGATGAGGGCATCCAGAGGCGAGTCTGAGACGTACGTGCTGTCCAGCCGGGGTGTCTGACACCTCCAGCCCCAGCACGGTGAGGTCACGCGTGGCTCCCGACACCTGCCATCCCACGCCCACCACACTGCACAGCCCGGGTACATGCGGAGCTTCCAAAGAGTTTGTGGGGAAAAAAATGGAATTTAATGTCATGGTGCAGTGGGTTAATCCTCCACCTGCAGTGCCGGCATCCCATGTGGGCACTGGTTCTAGTCCCGGCTGCTCCTCTTCCAGTCCAGCTCTCTGCTGTGGCCTGGGAAAGCAGTGGAGGATGGCCCAAATGTTTGGGTCCCTGCTACTCGTGGGAGACCAAAAGGAGGCACCTGGCCCCTGGCTTCGGATCAACACAGCTACAGCCATTGTGGCCATCTGGAGAGTGAACCAACAGAAAGAAGACCTGTCTCTCTCTCTCACTCTCTCTCTCTCTCTCTCTCTCACTGTGACTCTGCCTCTCAAATAAATAAATAAAATCTTAAAAAAAATGAGCTTTATTCTCAGTGCAAAAAACAGTTGTTTTTTGGAAATCCACAAGTCACTTTTCTCATAACATACATTTTCCACAGACTTTTTGCAGAAGGGCAAGTGGTGCCTTAAGAGGGTGCTCATCTGTGTCACTCTAGACTCATTAACCGTCAGCAAGGGGCTCCGTTCAACCCCCGCCCTTGCTCCGACATGGGGAGCCTTTTACCGGACGCTCACTGAGATGACCAGCGCGGTTAAGCAGGAGTCTATCTGAAGCAGGGGCGCACGGTCTACACAGAAACACCCATCCCGGGGTGGCTGCTGGGTGTGCACATGAGACACCGCATCCCATGTGCAAGTCGCTGGCTTTGACTTCAGTGCGGGCTCTGCTCCCAGCCCAGCTTCCTGCTGCTGTGCCCCCTGACCCCCATGGCTGCACACCTGCCGCCCACGGCGTGGCAAGGCCTGGACCGGGCTCCTGGCTCCTGGCTTTGGCCTCCTCCCTCTTCCTCTCCCTCTCCCCCTCTCCCCCCTCTCTCCCTCTTCCCTCTCTTCCTCTCCCTCTCCCACTCACCCTTACCCTCACCCCTCTCCCTATCTCTTCCTTCTCCCTCTCCCTCTCCCTCCCTCTCGCCCCTCTTCCCCTCTCCTTCTCTCCCTCTCCCTCTCTCCCTCCCCCTCCCTCTCCCCTCTCCCGCCCCCCATCTCTCCCTCTCCCACCCCACTCTCCCCCTCCCTCTCTCTCTCCCTCTCTCTCCTTCTCTCTCCCTCCCTTTCCCTCTCTCTCCTTCTTTCTCTCCTCTCTCTCTCCCCCTCTCTCCCCATTCCTCTCTCTATTACCTCTGTCCCTATCTTGACTCGCCTCCTCCCCATTGCCCTCACAGAGACCACGCTGATCATACTGAGACCCACACAGGAGGGAGACTGCTAACAGAACCGTATCTGCGAAGCCTCCTCTTCTACGTAAGGTGGCACGGCCACAGGCTCCAGGGTGACAGTCTGAACCTCTTCGGAGAGAAGCCGTTCTGTCCACCGTGCCTGCTGGGTATGGATTTGACTTCCCTATCGTAGAACTGCCAAAATCTGCCTTATATGGGCGATATTCAGGTAAATGCTGACCACCTCCCCTCCAGGCCGCCGCCACTGCCCTCCCCCCCCCCCCAGTCTGCATTAGCAGGAAGCTGGAGTCAGGAGCCGGAGCTGGGTTCTGAACCCAAGCCCTCAGGTGCAGAAACGCCTGCTCCCAAGACACCTTTATTGCTGTAGGCTTAGCTGCTCTTGTCCTCTGTAACTTGGAGGTGAGCACACACAGGCAGATGGATCTCGGGAGAAATACACCATCTAGAGAAATGAAGTCTTGGGGCCAGCACTGTGGCACAGCGGGTAAAAGCCCTGGCCTGAAGCGCCAGCATCCCATATCAGCACCGGTTCCAGTCCGGCTGCTCCTCTTCCGATCCAGCTGCTTTGGCCTGGGAAAGCAATAGAAGATGGCCCGGAGTGTCTACAACAGCCAGGGCTGGGCTGGGGCCAGGCCCAGGATCCAAGAAGCCGATCCAGGACTCCTGGCTGAGTGGCAGGAACCCAGCCCCCCGAGCTATCATCACCGCTTTCCAGGAGCTGGAGCAAGCTGGGCGTCAAACGGCGGCACTCCAACGTGGGACGTGCACGTGTTAACCTCCAGTCCACTCATCCCCTACGCCCTTCTTTTCAGTGGAACTTGGAAGGAATCTTTCTACCGTCTAATATATCATTCGTTACAAAATTATCAGGGCAGGCATTGTGAACCATAGGCTAAGCGGCGCCTGCAATGCCTGCATCCCACAGCAGAGAGCTTGTTCAACCCCTGGTTACTCTGCTTCCAATCCAGCTGCCTGCCAATGAGCCTGAGAAGGCAGCAGGTGCTGGCCCAAGTCCTTGGGCCCCTGCACCCATGTGGGGGACCCGGATGGATCTCCAGGCTCCTGCCTTCGGCCTGGCCCAAACCCGGCTGCTATTGCAGCCACCTGGGCACTGAACCAGCAGATGAAGATGGTTCGTTCTCCCCCTCCCTCTCATCTCTCCCTCTCCCTCTCTCTCTCTCTCTCTCCCTAAATAAATAATTCTCATTCCAGGTGAATTAGACAAGTCTTATGACCTATCTTCTCTTTGCTCACGAGAATCCCACACAACGATTCTTTAAGCCTAGAATTGGGATTTAGAAAGAAATCCAATGTGTCAACACTGTGCAGGAAGACAGCAGGGGGCTTGCTTGTCACCCCATTCCCTGCAGGACCCGGGGTTTCCTTGCCCGCCCAGGGTACACAGCAAACTCGAAGCCTGTGGTCCAGCTAGCTCCCCACCCAGACCCCGTTCACCAGCCTCTCCTCCCAGTGAAGCCCCTTCCAGACGCTGAGACTCCTGGAGCAGGAAAACCCACGTCAAAGGACTTTCTTACCCACGCGGTCTGAAAGGCCTGGGATGTATGTACATTTACATGTATTGTTTCTATGTACATTTACATGTATTGTTTCTATACACTCACATATATTACACACACATGTGATACAAACAAGTGCAAGCTTCCATGGAAGTTTTGTGATCTGGACAAAGACAAGGCATGACGACTCCTGGTGCTGACATCGTGAGGCACCAGGTTACGCTGTAGCTTGCCACACAGGCTTCCCGTATTGGAGCTCTGGTTCGAGTCCCAGCTGCTCCACTTCCAATCCAGCTCCTAGCTAACATGTCTGGGAAGGTAGCAGAAGATGACCCACGTGGTTTTTTTGTTTTGTTTTGTTTTTTGTTTGTTTGTTTTTTTGACAGGCAGAGTGGACAGTGAGAGAAAGAGAGACAGAGAGAAAGGTCTTCCTTTTGCCGTTGGTTCACCCTCCAATGGCCTCCGCGGCCGGCGCGCTGCGGCCGGCGCACCGCGCTGATCCGATGGCAGGAGCCAGGAGCCAGGTGCTTTTCCTGGTCTCCCATGGGGTGCAGGGCCCAAGCACCTGGGCCATCCTCCACTGCACTCCCTGGCCACAGCAGAGGGCTGGCCTGGAAGAGGGGCAACCGGGACAGAATCCGGCGCCCCGACCGGGACTAGAACCCGGTGTGCCGGCGCCGCTAGGCAGAGGATTAGCCTGGTGAGCCGCGGCGCCGGCCAGTAAGTATATTCTTACGAACACCTATCCATGTACTAGGATCGAAAGTCTAATCCCAATAACTCATGTGCCAAAAGTAAGTCATGATGGAAGACCATGGCTACAAATGAACCAAAATGCCGTACCTTGGTGTCCACAGGGATTGTGTTCCAAGACACACACATAAAATACCAAAATCTGCAGATGCCCCAGTCCTGGATATAAAATGGGACAGCATTTGCATGGAACTAGCACACATCTCCCTCCCACATACGGACCATCATCTCTGGGCTGCTTACCACACCTAGTACAGCAGGAATGTTCTGTGCATAGTTGCTAGGTGGCGTTTTTTTTAGGGAACAATGATAAAAAGCCTGTGCACATCCATGGAAAAGGCCGTGGTTGGCTAAACCTGCAGGTGGTGCAAGGACCAACTGCATAACGACACGCACGCAGCTAAGCAAGGACTGGGAGGATGAGCGACAGCCCCAGTGTCGCCTCTCACACCCAGAAGCTAACTAGCAAGGGGCCCGCTGCAGGGACCAGGCACAGGCAGAGGTGGCCTGCTGCTCCCCGCGCTCTCTCGCCCACCGTGGACCCTCTTGTGCACGGTGAGGGACGAGCTGTGCCGGAAGGCCTTCTCACACTGATCACACGGGTAGGGTCTCCCCGCGGCGTGGGTTCGCACGTGCACGAGCAGGTGTGAGGACTGACCGAAGGCCCGCCCGCACTCCCGGCATGCGTAGGGCTTCTTGCCGGTGTGAGTCCTGGCGTGCTTCCAGAGTGACGAGGGCTCGCGGAAGGCCCGCCCGCACTCCTGGCACGCGTAGGGCTTCTCTCCCGTGTGGGTCCGCATGTGGCTCTTCAGGGTCGAGAGGCGACTCAGGACCTGGCCGCAGGTGCCGCACGGGTACGGCTTCTCCCCGGTGTGGACCCGCCTGTGCACGCGCAGGTGCGTGCTCGTGCGGAAGGGCTTGCCGCACTGGTCGCACGCATAGGGCTTCTCCCTCGTGTGGGTCCGCAGGTGAGTCTTCAGCGAGGAGTGTTCCCGGAAGGCCTTCCCGCACTGGCCGCACGCGAAGGGCCTCTCCCCGGTGTGCGTCCTCGCGTGGCTCCGGAGGGACGAGGGCTGCTGGAAGGCCTTCCCGCACTCCTGGCACGCGTAGGGCTTCTCGCCCGTGTGGTTCCGCCGGTGCAGGGCCAGGTTGAAGTTCCTCGTGAAGGTCTTGCCGCACTGGCCGCACGCGAAGGGCTTCTGGCCGCCGTGCGTCCTCAGGTGCCGCCGCAGGTTGGAGGAGTACTTGAAGGCCTGGCGGCACTGGCGGCACTCGAAGCACTTCTCGGCCGTGTGGGTCTTCTCGTGCCTCGTGAGGTCGGAGCTGTACCGGAAGCACTTCCCGCACGTGCCGCACGCGAAGGGCTTCTCCCCACGGGGGCGCTTCTCGGGCTCGAGCAGGCGGGCGCGCGGGAAGAAGGACTTCCCGCCCCTGGGACGCGCGCAGGGGGCTTCTCCAGGACAAGGCTGCCGATGCTGGAGGAGTGGCTTCCCGAGCGCGGCATAGCCACAGAGCCCTCCTCCGGGCTGAGGGGGTTCCTGTGGACGAGGGAGGACGTGGGCACTGCACACCACAGCCACGGGGTGTGGCTCAGCGGCAGAGCATCCGACTGCACAGGACCACAGACACTGCCCCCGTGGGAGCGGAACTGCGAGAGCAAGACTCCCCTTCCTGAAGGTTTTCCCACCTCATTCCCACCCACAATGCCCTGCAGTGCAGCAGGACGGGACGCTCCGGCACCAGGAGCCAGGTTTCCATCGCGGTCAGGGGCTTCTTCGATGCGGCGTTTTTCTGAACTGTTTAAGGCTAAATGGGGTTTGAAATGCTCGCTATATCTGTCCTGTTGATTAGAAATGGCCATGGCGGGCTTAGGGATTAGCTTGGATGAGTGGCCCCAGAGGCTCATCCACGTGTTAGCCCCAAACCCCTCTGCTAACGGTGCTAGGAAGGAGGCAGTGTAATCCAGTTCAGGGTGTCCGGAGGCAAGGCCTCTAAGACACGACTGGACTGGACGCGTCCACGAGGGCAGAACCCCCGACTAAATCCCGAGGGCTTCAGAGAGGGACACGGGGCCGCGTGCTGCCTACCTCTCACCCTGAGATGCCCCGAGCGGCCTCGGCCCTCTGCCAGCGAGAACCCCACCACCCAGGCAGAACCAGCAGGACCTGCCCGACTCCGACTGGGATCCAGGACCACACGGGACAAGACAAACCCCTTCTCTTCAGACACTTGGTTGTCCCGGGTAGTTCCTTAGAGCAGTGAGCAGCTCACGCACACGGCTGTGAGGACACGTCTGGACCTCTGTACGCGTCCTCTGTGCATCCCTGCAACCCCAGCCTCCACAGTCCCTCCTCCCCAGGATGAGCACCACCCCAGCCTCCACAGTCCCTCCTCCCCAGGATGAGCACCACCCCAGCCTCCACAGTCCCTCCTCCCAGGGATGAGCACCACCCCAGCCTCCACAGTCCCTCCTCCCCGGGATGAGCACCCTCCTCCCCGGGATGAGCACCACCCCAGCCTCCACAGTCCCTCCTCCCCGGGATGAGCACCACCCCAGCCTCCACAGTCCCTCCTCCCCGGGATGAGCACCACCCCAGCCTCCAGTCCCTCCTCCCCGGGATGAGCACCACCCCAGCCTCTTGCTGCTTTGGGGCTGCGTTCCAACCCACGGCCACCAGACTCCTCCCCCTACAAAGGACGGACAAAGTGTCCCCGGGGAACCTCACCTTTTTCATGCCAATGCAGGGAATCCCCCCAAAAGTATCTTGGCTAGGAATGGACCCTTGGGGTTGACGTTGAGGTTCTGAAACACATTGGGAGGAGGACAGAAATCATTAAGGGGACAAAGGAAGAAATTGTGTGTTCAAACCAAAAAAGTAAGCAAGAAAGTTGTGATATTTTTTTTCTAAACAGGGATCCCAAACATGGGATGAAATCATCAAGAGGAGGAAAAGCACCAAAGAGTAGAGGGGAATTCTAAGGCGTGCGGCTGCGTGAGAAGTAGGGAATGGCAGGACGAGGGACACAGCAGCAGACACTCGACACCTGCGGGAGAGGCGCCGAGGCCTGTGCAGCAAGCAAGGACGGCGGGGACACAGCAGATGACACCCACACGGCAGTATCAAACATGAAGAGAAGGCAGGACACGTCTTGCTGTGGAATCAGAGTCAACATGAAGCCAGGGCAGCCAGACAGCACTCCCTCTCGAGGGCACCACAGTTGATTTACTTCTCGGTATTCCCAAGGCCAACGCGCCCCTTAGTGCCCAGAGCTGACCTGCCTGAGCCCACCTGCAGAGGCTCCTGGGCAGACAGTCGGGGTGGTCCACAGCCCCTCCTGCCCCAAGTGGGACACCGCCCTGGGTTTTCACAGCTGCTCTCCTGCTCGTGGGAAAAATGCCCAGTGTGGGAAGACGGGGCCCTCCCGTGGGACCCTGATAGTCTGAAGCCCCCTCTCCGGGGGCTCAGGCGGGGGGGCGTGGCAAATACACATGGCTGAATTCCAACGCACAGCAAGGCTCTCACTAAGGCAGTGAACATGTGCGCAGTGTAAGAGGCTCCAGGAAACACGGAGTTGAGAGATAAGTCTTAATTTGGCATTAAAAAAAAAAAACACCTGCAAAATCCGTGCATGGCTTTTCAGAATATGCATTCTCTGGGAGCCACTGAAGAACCCCACGCGAGTCTCATCCTGTCCCAGAGGAGGCGGGGCTCTCCAGTCCCCAGGATCCACAGCCTGCGTCCGAGACAGCCCCGAGTGTCTCCGAGTCAGGGAGCAGGGCGAGGGGACCACCAGGCCGAAAGCGCCGTGCAGGCTGGACCTGCCTGTTTGCGCGCTGTTTGACCTCCCAGAGCCCCGGCCGCAGTTCCTGGCCTTACCCACGGCGGACAGGTTCCTGTAGTTCTCCAGCATCACGTCCCGGTACAGGCGCCTCTGAGCAGAGTCCAGGAACAGCCACTCCTCGGGGGTGAACACCACGGCCACATCTGCAAAGGTGACTGCTTCCTAAAACACACAGCGCCCTGGGCTGCGTCCCAGCTGAGACACGACCACCCTGCTTCAGCCGGGGCCGCCCCCGCTGCTGGGGCCCAGTGGGGGTGGGGAAGTGAGACCCCACGCAAGGACTTTTTTTTTTTTTTTTTTTTTTTGACAGGCAGAGTTAGTGAGAGAGAGAGAGACAGAGAGAAAGGTCTTCCTTTGCCGTTGGCTCACCCTCCAATGGCCGCCGCAACCGGTGCACTGCGGCCGGCGCACCGCGCTGATCCGAAGGCAGGAGCCAGGTACTTCTCCTGGTCTCCCATGGGGTGCAGGGTCCAGGCACTTGGGCCATCCTCCACTGCACTCCCGGGCCACAGCAGAGAGCTGGACTGCAAGAGGGGCAACCGGGACAGAATCCAGCACCCCGACTAGGACTAGAACCCGGTGTACTGGCGCCACAGGCAGAGGATTAGCCTAGTGAGCTGCGGCGCCGGCCGCAAGGACTTTCAGACAGGGTTCTGAGGGCTCCCCGAGCCTCCTCTCCAGTCTCTTGGCAGCCAGAAGTGTGCCATCAGAAGACCTCCACATCAAGGAAGGCTTTCACCTGTAGACAGCAAACCACCGGACCCATACGGATTTACACCCCCTCCTGCCCCAGCGCAAAGCAGGCCTGAGCACACTGTGGCCAAGAGAGAACATTCGAGTAAATGTCTGCCCTCTTTGCTCAGCAGGACAGGACGACCACGGGACAGGACGGCTCACGCTCTTGCTCTGTGCCCAGCAGTCTTGGGAGGGTCTAAATGATGGGCTGGGACCCATGGGCTGTGCCCCCCTCACTCCACTGCAAGAGGCCCAGCTCCCGCAGCCTGGAGACCAGCTCTGTGGGGTCGTGATGGTCCAGGAAGCTCAGAGGACGGGGGCCAGTGTGGGGCACAGCCAGGCTGTTAGAACATCTTACTTACCTGGGAACAGGTAGACGGCCACCCTGGAGCCAGGGCTTCCTCCTCTCTGCTGCCCTCCTGCCCCCAGGGTGGGTCCTGAGCAGGCAGAGCTGGGGAGGAGAGAGCAGGCGTAAGGGGCACAGCCTGGCCCAGCAGGCACACTCGCTGGCCCTGGGCCACTCGCCCTAACCACGATGACACATGTGTGTGCATACACACACACAGGCACGCCCCCACAGGAACATACGTGCAAAGGCTCCTCCAGCCTCCCGGGTCCATCTGAAATCACCCCCACACTTCCCTGCTGTGCAGGGGGAGCCAATACACACGCCTGGCCACTGTCCCCAGCAGGGCCCGCTCAGCACGCTGGCCACTGGCTGGTGTCTGGGGACCTGGGTTGCAGGGGTGCCCGCGGCCCTTACGGACAAGAGGTGAGGGTGTGGGTGAGGCTCCGGGGGTCTGGAACTGCCCACGTGGCCAGCTCCTGGAGACAACTGTGGGTGCCAAGAGTCCATGGAGTTTGCCCACACGCTCTCACAGCTGGGTGCGGCTGCCCTGGGAGAGGATGCTGGGAGCTTGAGTCTGGCTTCCTCAGCCTTCCCCACGAGCCTTTTCAAAGCCACGCTGAGTCTGCTCCCTCCGCTTCAGTGCACCAGAACCACGAGGGCAGCCAAGACCCAAGATGTTCGGTCCTGCCAGCAAAGCACCAGCCTGAGAGGAACGCAGTGCACCTGCCCCCCACGCCTCTGCCTCCAGACTCCGCCCGGCCTGAGGACACCGCCTTCTCTCCGCATTGTCACGCGGAGCATAGCACTGGAGCCTCGTGCACGGCACAGGCCCACGGGCCCGGGGCCCCACCCTGAGAGCCACACCAAGCCTGTGTCAGCTGCCCAAAGGCCCCACCTCCAGCATGGGGAGCTGGGGCTCCGGCATGGGAATCTTGGGGGACAGAATTCAGAACGGCACACCCCGAGCTCAGCAGCGAAGGGCCCAGACCCGGCATGACTGCTGTCCTTCTAGGAAGACGAGGTGGAGAAGGAGTGAGAAGATGGACGTCCCTAGGCCCCGGAGGAGCCCTGGGAGGAACCAGCCCTGTGCACGCCCTGGGCTCGGGCTCTGTTGTTCATGCTGACAGCCCGTGGTAATGGTGGCAGCAGGCCTAGCAGACCTACCCAGGGAAGACGGCCCAGTGCCTGGCGAGCTCAGCGCACGGCACAGCCCCCTCTTGGCTGTGCTTAGCTCTACTGGTGCCGGTGCTGCGAGAAGCCCCCTTTCCCAAGACCCTTCCCCAGCCGCCCCCCAGCACCCCATCCCACTGCATTCTAGACTTCACGGAAAACTCTGACCCCCAGCCACACTGGGAGCCCCGGGAGAAAGGGGGTCGGCATTTTCCAGGCAGCTGTTTAACAGCCCCGTTCCCACCGCAGGCCGGCACGCATCCCCGCCTGAAGAGCAGACACGAGCATCCCGCACAGCGGTCACGACACCACTTCAGGTGCCCACAGCCCATATCCGAGAGCCTGGGTTCAAGTCCCGGCTGCGCTTCCAACTCCAGCTCCCTGCTCATGCACACCCTGGGAAGACAGCAGGCAATGGCCCAAGTCCTTGGGCCCTGCCACCCACCTGGGAGACCAGGATGGAGCTCCTGGCTCCTGGTCCTGGCCTGGTCCAGCCCCTGATGTTGCAGGCATGCGGGGAGTGAGCCAGCAGACGGAAGACCTCTATCTATCTCTATCTACCTGTCTCTCTGCCTTTCAAATAAGTAAATAAACTTTGTAAAACCAAACAAGATACAGCCTGGCCCAGAAGGCTGACCAGAAATGCACTAAAGAGCAACCCATAACCTCAACCTGAGAATCAGACCCTTCCAGTAATACAACACAGACTCCAAGTTCAAGAGCGGACGGTAAGCTTAGGAAACAAGCTTTTCTTACTGGAAGGCAGAATGAAAGGAAACAGAAACCTTGCCATTAGAACAAAAATGCTGTGTGTCCTCCAGAATTAATTTTTTCCTAGCTTCTCAGGAGACTTTTAACTCGTTTAAAAAAAAAAAAAAAACAACTCAGTTAAAACACAGGCCATGTCTAGTCAATTCTAACGGTCAAGACGGACATCACTGTGGACTCGGGAGTGAGACCCTGGGCAGACGCTGGGCCGGGCAGTGGAGATGCTGGCCGGGCGGCCCACATCCCCATCCCAGGCACTCGGTTTGAGTCCTGGCTCCGGCACCCTGCCAATCCCCACCTTGCGACACAGAGCTCATGGGTCAGCAGTTGGACCTGTGTCACCCACGCTGGAGACCCAGACTGAGTTTCGGGTTCCCAGGCATTTGGGGAGAAAACCAACTGGGTGGGAGCTGTCTCTCTCCTTCTCATTCTCTCTCTCTTTGCCTCAAATAAACTTAAATCAATAAAAGAACGCGACATTGCCCAGAGAGAGCTAGCCAGTGGACATGTCTCAGCTACAGGTGCATACGCTGGTGTCGCAGTGCGGGTGTCACAGTACGCACAGGGCGGCAGGGACAATCACACAGGCCTGGCCTCACCCCCTTGTGTTCTTAACAGAAAGGCCTGCACCCAGGACCGCAGTTCCGTGTGCTTGGGGGGAGCCGTGGCAGTCAGAGGGAAGGAAGGCAGGATGGGATGGGATGGGCACTCGGGGGCAAGACGCAGGGCGGCAGGGCGGCAGGGCGCACTGGCCGCGTGGCCCACGGGACCGCACTCACCACAAACCCCGGCCAGCTGCGGGTCAGGGAGGTCCAGCGTGGGCACCGGCGTCCCTGCCCTCTCAGGCTGCATGGTCACCTTCAGTCCCTGGACAGTGACGGGGGTCGCGGGTTAGAGCGCACGGCCCCGGGACCCACTCACAACACCCACTCAGTCTAACTGAATGCGCAAGACTGGCCCTGCTCCAGGCAGTGTACAGAGGAGCCCCCCGCCGGGACAGGGGCCCAAGAGCGAGCTCATGTGACCGCGCTGACACTGGCATCCCACACTGCGGTGTCCAGATCTGAGTGCCAGCTCTGCTTCCGATCCAGCTCCCTGGCAACCACCCCCGGGAGGAGTGGGTGACGGCTGAGGAGTTAGGTCCCCGCCGCCCCCAGGAGACACTCAGACTGAGACCCCAGGCCCAGGCACCTGGGGAATAAACCAGTGGGTGGGAGGTCTCTCTGTCCCTCCCTCTCCCTCTCTCCCCCTCTTTCTCTCACCTAAAAATAATCATTAGAATGTTTTAAAACATCTACAACGAAGCCGGCGCCGTGGCTCAATAGGCTAATCCTCCACCTTGCGGCGCCGGCACACCGGGTTCTAGTCCCGGTCGGGGCGCCGGATTCTGTCCCGGTTGCCCCTCTTCCAGGCCAGCTCTCTGCTATGGCCAGGGAGTGCAGTGGAGGATGGCCCAGGTGCTTGGGCCCTGCACCCCATGGGAGACCAGGAAAAGCACCTGGATCCTGGCTCCTGCCATCGGATCAGCACGGTGCGCCGGCTGCAGCGGCGGCCATTGGAGGGTGAACCAACGGCAAAGGAAGACCTTTCTCTCTCTGTCTCTCTCTCTCACTGTCCACTCTGCCTGTCAAAAATAAAAAAAAAAATAAAATAAAATAAAAAAAAAACATCTACAACGAAAGCAGTCTTACCATTTGCCTGTCACTGGACTGATGTGTCTTCCAAAATATCCCACGCACACGTCAGGCCTGCGGGGTCAAGTCTCGATTCCCAGGCCAAAATGAATTGAAAGAAGAGTCACCTCCTGTCAGAAAGGACGGTGGGATTTAACTGAAAATACAAATATTCACACACTCGTGGAGGGGAGGGAGCCTTCGTAACCAGGACTTTAAACTTGGGGACGCGGCGGCAGCAAAGCCGGCGTCCCTGTGACAGCAGTGGCAGGGCAGAGGCGGGAGGAGAGGTGACTTCCTAGAGAGGAGCGACCGGCCCGTGCAGAGAGTGCAGAGCGAGGAGGAGGTGGGCCACGAACACACGCGGAAACGCAGCCAGCAGAGCCCCCAGAGGGTGATCTCCAGACCTGGAACTGACCCTTTGAGATGTGGCGACTTTGAAAAGTCCTGTCTTGACTGTTGAGGAACAGCTGGGTTTTTGTTTTTTTTTTTTTTTCACACTATCTGTTCAACTCTTTACTCAGTGTAAGGTTAATCGTATGTGTATGAAGTTCACTGCAAATAGATCTTAGTGAAAAATTAGAATGGGAATAAGAGAGGGAGGAGGAAGAGGGGTGGGAGTGTGGGTGGGAGAGAGGGGAGGGGAGGAAGAATCACTGTGTTCCTAACGTTGTATTTATGAAATGCATGAAGTTTGTATACCTTAAATAAAGGTTTCTGGGTTTTTAAAAAATAAATAAATAAAGATAAAAATTGTTAAAAACCACAAAAAAAAGGCAGAACTGGACCAAAAGAACCATCATCTCCTGCTGGAAGGAACGCCAAACAGGGCCCCGGTATTGTCCAACAGTCCCAGGGCACCCCAGAGTTACACACACCCACATTACCACACACCAGAGTTACACACACCCACGACAATAAAAAAAAAAAAAAAAAACCCACGATGTGCACGGGAAATCCCACACCAGGGCTCAGAGCAGCGTGACAACATCCAGGAGGGAAAACAAGCCGAGCGCCCGTCGGCTGGTGAACGGTGAGCTGAAGCTTCCCAGCCGCACAGGAAAGGTGACTTGGCTGCCCCTGGGCCCGGACTGTGGGACGGAGCCACACAGTGGGTGGCAGAGTCGCTCGCACACCCAGAGGGGCCCTTCCAGAAGACCCTGCTAGGCTCACACACGCTGCGCTGTGGCCCCCAAAACTCCACGTGCTGGAGGCCTGGCGTTGCGAGGTGGGGGGACATTTAAGAGGTGGGGCCTGATGGAAGGCATTTAGCGCACCAGGGGCCCTGCCCACATATAGCTCTTAAGGGACCTCTGCAGTGCTGGCATCCCATGGGGGCAGTGGTTCGAGTCCCGGTTGCTCCATTTCCAATCCAGCTCCCAGATAAAGCGCCTGAGGAAGCAGCAAAAGATGGGCCCAAGTCCATGGGCTCCTGCCACCCACGTGGGAGACCTGGAAGAAGCTCCTGGCTCCCAGCTTTGGCCTGGCCCGGTCAGGCCATTGCAGCCATGTGCAGAACAACCAAAAGATGGAGGTAGTCTCCATCTCTCCTTCTCTCCTTCTCTCGCCCTCTCGCTCCCTAACGCTGCCTTTCAAATAGATAAATAAATCTTTACCAAAAATAAAGAGGACAGGCAAGGCCCCGGAACCTCTCTGCGTCCTGCCTAGTCACGTGATCTCTCCCTCCGGCACAAGGCCCACCCCTGAAAGCTACACGGCCTTGAAGTTTCAGCCTCCAGATCAACCCTGAGCTACACGCACCTGTCTGGCTAATGACCAACAGAAAATGGGCTCCCATCAACCCACAGCGCGAACGCTCTGGGAGGAGGCTCCAGGAGACCCACTCAGGCCGTCACGGGGCAGACGACAGACCCAATCATGGGATGGACAGGAGTAATGCGGTGGAGGCCGGCAGGTGCCCGGGCAGGCCACGATGACGCCAGCCTTACCCCTGGAGGCCGGGGTCCTGCACTTGCCAGGATCGCGCACCTGCGCCCACCACGCCGACACAATGACTCCCTCCCTCTGGCTGACTCTGCTGACCCCTGACTGTACAGCCCGGCAGCTCAGAGCCACGTATCCAGCTCGGGCCCTGGGATTTTTGTGAAGTCCCTAGGGTCCCTCCGAGTCTTAGAGGCAGGAGTCATCCCGATCCACAGGGAGTAAGTTCCCAGGTGGGGCTGGGGTTGCAGCGTGAGTTAAGCGGTGGCCTACGCCGCCGGCATCCTACAGGAGAGCTCCAGTTTGAGTCCCGGCTGCCCCACTTCCGGTCCAGCTCCCTGGTCATGCACCTGGGAAAGCGGCAGAAGGTGGCCCAAGTGCTTGGGCCCCTGCCACCCGTGTGGGAGACCTGGAGGAAGCTCCTGATGCCTGGCTTTGGCCTGGCCCAGCCCTGGCCGTTTGTGGAGTGAACCAGTGGATGGAAGACCCCTATCTCTCTCTATATATATAACTCCGTCTGCACTTCAAATAAATCAATAAATCTTAAATAGAAAAAAAAAAAAAAAAAAAAAAGGATTTCCATCCACCTAAGAAACTCGATGGCCTTCTAGTTTCCGAATTCCGTCCCCAGCAGTGCAGTCCGTGAGAGCCCTCTGAGGATGGAACAGCCCGCACCTGCCGGCCGCCCAGCCCGGGAGAAAGGCGGCGGGGTAGCTTCTATGTAAGTGGACCCAGCCTGTGTGTGTTTCCAGGTGGTCTCGCGGGGAGGGGACAGCAGGGGTGGCGCTGAGGGAAGCCCCACAGCACAGGAGACTCAGGTCTCGAACACAGAGCCCTTGTGATGTCTCGGGGCAGGAAGAATGCTCCCCATCCCTGCGCCCCACCCCACCCCACCCGCCAACTGCTTCCTCAGCTGAGGCGGGAGAGGGAGAAAGGACAGGGCCCAGGGCACGTCCTTCTCCACCGCCACCCATCCACGTCCCCCCAGGCTCCTCGCCATGACGCCAGCACCAGGGCTCCAGGCCTCAGCCACCGTCTTCCTGCGATGAAAGGGAGACGCAGGTAAGGGCCGGCAGGAGGGAAGCAGCAGGTGCCGGCTCAAGGACTCGAGTTCCGACCACTGGTGCTGGAGCTCCTGGTTCCTGGCCTCCAACTGGCCCAGCCCGGAGTGGTGCAGACATCTGCAAAGTGAACCAGCAGATGGAAGACATCTCACTCACTCCCTCCCTCCCTCTCTCTAATAAATGTATCTTAAAAAAAAAATCCAATTTTTCTGATCCCGAGCCTCAACTACCATCACCCAAGTCCTAAACTTATCCGAGCTCCCACACGAACTCTAAATTCCTTCTTGCCCTGCTGACTCCACACTCAACCCAGGCGCTAGAGTTTTGTTCAGATCACAATCACAGGCCTGCTACCCCCTGCTCAACACTCTGACCCAATGGCTTCCCAGTGGCCTCGGAACACAACAGCGGCCCAACTTTCCCCAAGCTTTCCCCACAGCCTGCCTTCCACGCCACCCTGGCGAATCCGCTCCGTATCTTGCTGACTTTTCTTGGCTCCAGGAACACACCAGGTTTCTGCACTGCCTGAGGGACTGTGCCTCTGGAATGTTCTCTGAAGTCTCCTCCCCCAAACCTCCTCCACAGCCAGACTTCTTGTTCATCCCCATACCACTCATCTGGTGGGTTCCAACACTGGTCGCTTGTGAGATGTTCGGCCCCACCTCCTCCCTAAGTTAGACTGCTCTGTAGGCCCGTGTCACCCTTGTCACTATTATTATTTTTTTAAGGTTTATTTACTTATTTGAAAGTCAGAGTTATGGGGGGGGGGGGGTCTTCCATCTGCTGGTTCACGGCCCAGATGGGAGTGAACCAGCAGATTGAAGATCTATTTCCCTATGTCCCTTTCTCCCTCTCTGTGTCACTATGCCTTTCAAATAAATAATTTTTTTAAATTCTTGGCCGGCGCCGTGGCTCAATAGGCTAATCCTCCACCTTGCGGCGCCGGCACACCGGGTTCTAGTCCCGGTCGGGGCGCCGGACTCTGTCCCGGTTGCCCCTCTTCCAGGCCAGCTCTCTGCTATGGCCAGGGAGTGCAGTGGAGGATGGCCCAGGTGCTTGGGCCCTGCACCCCATGGGAGACCAGGAAAAGCACCTGGATCCTGGCTCCTGCCATCGGATCAGCGCGGTGCGCCGGCTGCAGCAGCGGCCATTGGAGGGTGAACCAACGGCAAAGGAAGACCTTTCTCTCTCTGTCTCTCTCTCTCACTGTCCACTCTGCCTGTCAAAAAAATAAATAAATAAAAATAAATAAATAAATAAAAAATTCTTTAAATAAATTTTTAAAAGAATGACATCAAAGCAGCCCAAGAAGCCACCTGCACACATGAACTCGCACACAAACAAGACACCACAAAAATCAAACACAGTCATGACGTAAATTGTCTTTCATCATACAACACAAATCTCAACACCAGATTCCAGGTGTCTCTGAAAAAACAATGCTAATTCATTCTTTAAAAAAAAAAAAAAAAAAGGTGGTGGCCAGCACCATGGCATACCAGGTTAAGCCACTGCCTGGGACGCTGGTTTGCCACATGAGTGCTGGTTCGAGTCCCGGCTGCTCCACTTTTGCTCCAGCTCTCTGCTGTGGCCTGGGAAAGCAGTGGAAGATGGCCCAAGTCCTTGAGCCCCTGCACCTGCATGGGAGACCCGGATGGAGCTCCTGGCTCCTGGCTTCAGCCTGGCCCAGTCCTAACCATTACAGCCATCTGGGGAGTGAATGCAAGATCTCTCTCTCTCTCTCTCTCTCTCTCCCCACACCCCTCTTGTCACCTAATTCTTTTCTCGATTTTTCAAATACACTCGACAGATCGTCAAGCCGATCTGCGCACGGGCACCCAACCCTAACACTCCAGTTGCAAAGCTAAAAAGCTTCACGGTGTCGGGCCTCCACTATGAACCGGGGAGAACCAGGCAGGGCATCCCCGGCCCGCGAGACCCGGATTTACAACGTGATCGCCCTGTCGCCACAATGACAGTCCTGAGGCCCGGCCCCGGCCCGGAGCGGGGGTCCCTGAAGACCCCGACGGGGACTCCCCCCGAGCGCAAAGGCGTGAACGTGAGGCTCCAGATACGACGCCACCGGCAAGCGGGCCTCACCACGGCCGGGCCACAGCTGCAGGGAAGCAGCTCCGCCCCGGCCTCCGACCCCGGCCCCTCGGCCCCTCCCCGGCCAGCCGAGCCCTGCCCGCCCTCCCCGCCCCACCGAGGGGCCGGGAGGCACCTGCAGATCCGCCGGAGACACTCCCACCTCGGCGCGCCGCGCGCGGCCGCAAGACCGCCATCCGCGCCTGCGCGGACTTCCGCTTCCGGTCGCGTGGGGCGTCGGGAGCGGAAGTGGCTGGAATGGGGCCTGCCGGCGCTGAGTGGTGATAGGCGCTGGCGGGAGGGGTGATTCTTTCATCCGGCATTGGCAAAAAAAAAAGCATTCTAGTGTCTAACTCGGGTGGTGAGGTTAGGCTCTAGCGTGGTCACACACGGGCGCCCACGGAGGGTGGGGTTGGGGCGGGGCTCCGGTCCCCCGGGCCCGTGGGGGCGTGGCTTAAGAGCGATGGGCCTGCGGGGCGGGGCCTGAGATGAGGGGTGGGGCTTCGTTGGGGGGCGGGTATAGGGGCGGGGGTCTCTGCTTTGCCTCGATTTTTTTCCCAGGTTGACTTAATCCAGTGCCCTGCAAAAGCATACATACACCATTGGGGGTTTTTGGGGGGGAGGGGCTTCCCCAATTGATACTAAAAATAGGAGAGTGTATTTTTAAAAGGTTTATTTATTTATTTGAAAAGCAGAGCTACTGAGAGGCACGGGGGGTGGGGGGGGTTGTCTTCCATCTGCTGGTTAACTCCCAAATTGGCTGCAACGGCCAGGGCTGGGCCAGGCAGAGGCCAGCAGAAGTCAGGAGCCAGGAGCTTCTTCCGGGTCTCCCACGCGGGTGCAGGGGCCCACAGACTTGGGCCGTCTTCCACTGCCTTCCCAAGCCATAGCAAAGCGCTAGATTGAAAGAGGAGCAGCCGGGACTCGAACCGACGCCCAAATGGGATGCAGGCACTCAGGTGATGGCTGTACCCACTAGGCCACTTAGTATAAATCTATTCCATTTAGTATAGGTACACTTACTATTTCCAGATTTTGAAGTAAAAGAAAAAAACAATGAGCTGGATTTAATCATTATACTTCCTACAGGGGCACTTCAGAAAGTCTGTGGGAAGATAGAATTAAAAGACAAGTTTATTTTCAGTGAAAAAAAAAAAAATTCTGAAATCAGGGTCCGGCTCTGTGGCGCAGTGGATTAAAGCCCAGGCCTGCAGTGCTGGCATCCCATAGGGGCGCCGGTTCGAGTCCCAGCTGCTCCACTTCCAACCCAGCTCCCTGCTAATGCACCTGGAAAACGCAGCGGAAGACGGCACCCAAGTCCTCTGGCCCCTGCACCTGCAAGGGAGACCCGGATGGAGCTCCTGGCTCCCAACTTCAACCTGGCCCAGCCCCGACTGTTGCAATTTGGGGAGTGAATCAGCAATGGAAGATGGATGGATGGATGGAGAGATCTTTCTCTCTTCTCTCCCCCTTTCAAATAAATATATCTTAAGAAGTTCCTCAGACTTCAGTAGCTCTCGTCTGCATCAACACGACAGCTCTAAGGGAGCCACACATATTATTAACAACAGACCCCTGAACTCAATCCCCGGTCTCCACTCAGCCTGAGATGTCCGTTCCGACCACAGCAGCCGCAAGGTCAGAGGATCCTCGGGGATGATTCAAGTTCATAGACCATGAGAGCCAGACCAACCAGTGGAGGCTCAGACAGACTGCCAACCCCAGCTGTGCCACTGACCGACCCACTCACTCACGAGACCCCTCCCCCTCCGCACAATAGGGCCCGGGAACCATTCCAACCATCGAGATCAGCCACCGCATGTGTTTCGCACCCAATACACGCCCGATGAACCATGGCGGCTGCTACGCTCATCCACACAGAGTAGAGCCCGGGACCTTTGCCCCCGCCCCGAACCCAAAGGGCTAAAAGAGAAGTCTCCTTCACATCCCCCCTCCTTCCCGTCTGCTATTAGACAACTGTGAGAGGAAACCGGACGTGGGCAGCTCCACCGGGGGCATCCCTGGGGTGACCCGCAGACGCGGCCACATGCCCTGCTTCCGCTTTTCTCGAGGCTCAGGCGTTGGAAGAGGCTCAAGTTTCCTCTTCTGTGGCCAGAGAACTTCCTCCTGCTGCAGACAGACAGTCTCTCGGGTCGATGAGCGCCTGGTGTGGACACTGGGAGGGGACGCTGGTTTGGGCCGTGATGGGCAGGTGCAGGGGCAGAGGTGGGAGGAGGGGAGGATGGGGGATAAAGGTAGGTGACAGCAACTCACCGCACATTTCAACATAGTTGGTGGGGGGAGCAGACATTTGCTGGAGCAGTGAAGGCACCACTTGGGAAACCCAACACTGCATCACCCGGGTTCAAGTCATGGCTCCGCTCCCAATGCCAGCTCCCTGCGCATGCGCACACCCTGGGAGGCAGCAGGTGTTGGCTCAAGGGCTCTGATCCCTGCCACCCATGTGAGTGACCTGGATTGAAGTTCAGGCTCCTGGTTTCCACAGTAACTCAGCCTTGGTCGTTGTAGGTATTTGAGGAGTGAACCAGTGGATGGGAATGTTTCCATCTCTCTCTCTCTCTCTCTCTCTCTCTCTCTCTCTTTTTCTCTCTCTCTCCCCTTCCCTCACTCCCTCTCTCTCTCGAACAAATAAATGTTGAAGGCTTAAGACACATCCCCCCCCCAGGGCCAGCACCGTGGCATAGCAGGTAAAGCTGCCACCTGCAGTGCTGGCATCCCATATGGGCGCCAGTTCAAGTCCCAGCTGCTCCACTTCTGATCCAGCTCTCCGCTATGGCCTGGGAAAACAGTGGAAGATGGCCCAAGCGCTTGGATCCCTGCCACCCACGTGGGAGAACCAGATGGAGTGTTCCTGGTGCCTGGCTTCCGCCTCAACTAGTCCTGGCTTTTGCAGGCATTTGGAGAGTGAACCAGAGGATGGAAGACCTCTTTCTCTTTCTCTTTCTCTTTTTCTTTCTCTCTCTCTCCCCTCCCACCGTAACTCTTTCAAATAAATCAATCCATCTTGAAAAAAGAAGAGAGGCTGGCATATTTCACTAAGCCTAATGGTTTCCAGCTGTATCTATTTTGTTGCAAAAGAAAGGATGTCATTTTTTGATGGCTGAGTAATATTCCATAGTGTATTTATTCCAGCGTATATATTCCTGTGAAACTGCGGGCTTCCTATTTCTCACTTGCTGAATCAGATGGTTAGTGCTGAATTCAGCCTGGGATTAGCGAGTGGATTGAAATGTGGTCTTTGCAAAAATGAAAGAAAGGAGGGAAGGAGGCAGACTGAGGAAGGGGGGGAGGGATGGTTATCTTAGAACTGTGCCTATGAAATACATGAAATCTGTTCTCTTTATATTAATAAAAAAAGTTACAGAGGAACTGTGCCTATGAAACATGAAATCTGTTCTCTTTATATTAATAAAAAAAAGTTACAGAGGAACACAGGACACACACATGCACAGAGGGACAACCACATGAGGACACAGAGAGGGGCAGGTGCTCAGCCACCAGCCAGGGAGCAGGGCTGTGGAAACAAATCCACCAGAGCTGACATCCTGGTCTCCAACTTCCAGCCTCCAGAATGTGGAGAAAACCTACCTCTGTGGCTTAAGCCGCCCAATCAACGAGGCTCGATTAGGGGAGCCCCAGAAACTGGCGTTCAGGGAGGTGCTGACATTTGCAGGAGCTCACGGCCCCGGGGGAAACACACACAGAGAAAAGGCGACCTCTGTCCATCACCTGGGGCCCCGCAGGTCTCACCAGGCTTGGCCTCCTGGGCTGGGCTTCAGGGGCTCTCGTCTCCCAGCGGGTCTGCCTTCCCAGATGTGCCACAGACTGGGTCTTGGCAGGCACCCGCCTCCCCCGCCTGACCTGGACACAGCTCACCCCACACAGGGAGAAAATGGCTTGGCAAGGATCACTCGGCCACGTGCACTTCTCAGGTGGACGGTCCCATCTCAACGTGGTTCTGAGGATACAGTGTCAGACCTGGACACACACCCCCGCCAGGGCCAACATCACTTCTTCTTGAGAGCCCACAGGCAGGGAACGGTATCATGGCACCAGCATCCCATAATGGAGCGCTGGTTCGAGTCTCGGCTGCTCCACTTCCAACTCAGCTCTCTGCTATGGGCTGGGACAGCAGTGGAAGATGGCCCAGGTCCTTGGGCCCCTGCACCCATGTGGGAGACCTGGAAGAAGCTCCTGGCTTCTAGCTTTGGCTTGGCCCAGCCTCAGCCATTGTGGCTATTTGGGGAGTGAACCAGTGGATGGAAGACCTCTACCTCTCCCTCTGTGGCTCTGCCTTTCAAATAAATAAATCTTTTTTATATATTAAAAAAAGAGGCTGTGATCAGGACTCAGGTGCATTTTGCCCACACTCCACACAGGGAGACCACCCACAACCACGCCCTGGCATTTCCCTCCCACTGGAGGTGGATAACCTGATTGCACCCCCAAAAAACTTGCTACATCCAGGATGCCTGATGCCTTTGGGGGCCACCTCTGGGTCTGCCCATGAAGAGGCAGGACCTCCCAGGAAGGCAGCAGGAGGTTCCGGGGCTCCAGGAGTTGGGGGGGGGGCCACCTGCTGTCAGGTTCAACAACAATGTTTCCGCTCACAAATCCAGTACGAGGTTTTGTAGCAAGGGAGGTCGTTCCAGGTACCATCCTTGTTCATGCTGGCACAGTCCTCCTCAAAGCTATTGTTGGGCTCATCCACATCCCAGAAGCTGCAGGAAGGGGAACAGGAAAGGCATGAACAGGTGCACCTGACACGGACCACAGACACCAAGCCCAGGGAAGTGTGAACTCTACCGCAAGACTGCAGATCAGCGCCTCCATCAAAACAAGAGGAAACCCCACCATCGGCCACAGCGCAGCTGAACCCGGAGGGTGTTGTACCAAGAGAAAGAAGCCAGGCGTAGAAAGGCAAATGCCCTCTGTCCTGCCTCGTGAGTGGAATCCAGAGAAAGGTTGCGGGGGGGGGGGGGGGGGAGGCGGGCAGTGGCATTTGGCCCGGGGAGCTGAGATGTCCCCATCCCACATCAGAGAGGCTGGGTCTGGG